ACGGGAGCTAAAGACCTCGGTTATCAACTTGTCACGAGCGTATGGTCCTTGGAAGGAATCGCCGAGCAAAGGAGAAAGCAAACGGACGGACGAGCTAGGGTTTTCAAAACAAATCGGCGCACACTGTATCTGTGCGTGAGGGCGCGTCGGTGGTCAGATCGACAAGCCGTTTGCACTGATGGATTCGTCTCGGCGAGGGCTTCGATTTGATATCTTGCTCGTTTTCTGGGTCCTCACGATTTGAGAGAACGACCTCTTTGAAGTTCCGAGACAGATTTCTTTGCGTTTTAGGGGTTTGATGGAGATAGAGAGATCGTGAGATTAGGGTTTATGTGTCAGATCCTTTAGCTAAGGGATTTAGAGGCTATCGTGCTGATAACGTGTTATGAATCTCGTGTATTCTTATTGATTAATGAATGAGATTACAACTTATATATATACACAATAAGGGAGACAAATCCCAATTGGACTAGGAAACCCTAAAGCCCAAAGCCCACTAAGACTAACATAAACCGTCATTGGACGAGTCTTCTAGAAGGTAGACATGGGCCTTCTAGAACATGGACATGAGCCACGGTTATGGAGTCCATCCGTTATGTGGTTTTCAACATTTTGAACAATATTTTATAGGGGTCAATAAGCATATTTTAAACCATTTTCCTGAATTTTGCTTAGAATATTACAAGTAAATTAAAAATTTCTACAAATCCATAGGGGTCAATTGACCCCCATAATAACAATATACCTCCGCCCCTGGTTTTAATTTTGGAAATCTCATGTAAACTATTCAAATTCTCGTTTATAATTTCATTTAAAAACATGAACAAAAATAATCTGTGAATTACTTTATAGAAGACAATATTAGATACGTGAGATATCTGTTAAATGAGATTTTCTCTTTATGTTTTAATACATTGCAGTAAACTTTATATGATGGACATATATATTTCCTGGCTAAGCAAAGATAATTCTGGAGGTATGAAATAAATGATTATTCATTCATAAATTATGAAAAAGTGTATCATACTGAAAAAACCATTAGAGATCAACTAGATTCTAAATTCTTCAATCAAAATATTAAGAAATATATATAGTTCCGATTACGATATATATATTCACTTTTACTTGTAAGACTCGGTAAGTTATATAATGAAAGATTAGATTCGAGTGTCAAACACATTATGCTAAGTTGGTGAGTATTATCAGTGCCGGCTCAAGCATTTAGTAGGCCCTGGGGCAAAAACAAAAACTAGGCCCCTATTATATATATAAAAAAAGTATGTACAAAAATAAAATAACAAAAAGAATATTTATACTAGTATTTTTATGTCCATTTGTTAGTACAAGATGGGATTAAATTGTGATCCGACAAATTTGATATCTTACTGCGAATATTCCATATATAACTTAGATCGGATTATAAAAAACCAAACTCTATCACCAGATATTCCATATTTAACAATATAGATATTTAGTAGATTTGGTTAAGATTTAAAATTATGATTTTCCTATCATCTTTGTTTGATTTTTTTCAACTGTTTCGAATCATCATATACTACATAATTTACAATATTTTTGTTCTGCATATATTGTGATTCGAAATTTTTAAAACATATATATTACCTAATTTATAATCTTTTATATATAATAAATAATCATTAAATTTTAAAATTCACAAATTTTTAGAAAATAAATCGTTTCGCAGTGTACCGCAGATTAAAAAAAACCATCGTTTACAAAAGATAAAACAACAAGATCATTTTCGTCGATGGTTTTGATGTAAAGCCTTTATTTATAATAGAAAGCAAAAGAGATTTGGTCCAATAAATCAATTTTTTAGCTATGTTGGGTAAAATAAATCAACATCTAATTTTGGACTATAAATTAAAAAAAAAAAAAGAATATCGTTATGGTTTGTAATGTCAATATTCATGGGCCCTTTTTTATAATATAACTCATGTTTTGTAATGTCTATAGGCTCTTTTTATAATATCACTTTTTTTTTCCGAAATACTTGCACAGATTTTTGTTTTTTGGTTTTGCATACAAAGGAGGAAAGGAGGTATTACTAAAATCAGTGGCTATGGCCATGCCTATCTTTGCAATGTCATGCTTTAAGCTCCCTAAGACCACCTGTGACAATTTGGCGTCGGCTATGGCAGATTTCTGGTGGAGTTCCAGTGAGCATTCAAGAAATATACATTGGTTAAGTTGGGAGAAATTGTGTCTTCCAAAATGCAAAGGTGGTATGGGCTTTAGAGACATTCCTCTTTTTAATCAAGCTTTGCTAGCCAAACAAGCGTGGAGGATCCTTCAGTATCCTGATTGTCTCTTGGCTGGGATTATGAAGAGTAGATACTTTCCGGAGAAGAGTTTTCTGGAAGCTCCTGCCCATCATCGACCCTCATTTGCTTGGAGGAGCATCTTGCATGGTAAAGAGCTTCTTGTAAAGGGTATTGAAAAGAGAATTGGTAATGGAAAATCACGGAATGTATGGATTGATCCATGGATTGAGGATGAGGAAGAAGGTATGAGAGCACCGATGAGAAGAAACTATTTATTTGATGTCAGCTTGAGAGTCTGTGACCTCATTGATCCAAGTATTAGAGACTGGGACCAAAACATTTTGGCGGATCTGTTCTTCCCGGAGGATATCATTAGAGTTTTAAAGATCAAACCGGTTGTTTCCCAAAGTGATTATTGGGTGTGGAAGTTCAATAAATCTGGTGACTTTTCAGTAAAATCTGCGTTTTGGTTGGCCTCTCAGGAAAGTTTTTCCATAGTTGCTGTGGAAGCAAATGCATTACCATCGGTTAATGATCTAAAAGCAGAAGTGTGGCAGGTGCAAACTGACCCAAAAATCAAAGTTTTTTTGTGGAAGATGCTTTGTGGGGCTATCCCTGCAGTCCATGCCTTAAACAGAAGAGGTATGTCTCTGGATGATACTTGTCAGGTTTGTGGAATGGAACAGGAAACCTCTTTCCATGTTTTATTTTCGTGCACGTATGCTAGACAGGTGTGGGCTCTTTCTCAAGTCCCCAATCCTCTTTTTGGTTTCCAATATGGGTCTGTTTTTTCAAATATCCATCACTTGCTTGTTAACCGTAAGAATAAAGAATGGCCGGAGGAATTAAGGAGAAGTTTCCCATGGATTCTATGGAGAATTTGGAAGAATAGGAATGCATTAGCTTTTGATGGTAAATGTTTTTCTGCCTTGGAATCTGTTGATAAGGTTAGAGAGGATGTTTTTGATTGGTTTGAGGCTCAGATTATTGAGACTGAAGGTGAGGAAATGGGTGATGATCCGGCGATATCAAGTGTTCCTCTTGAGGAGGTTTTGGCCAGAGATAAATGGCAACCTCCGGTGGTTGGTTGGGTGAAGTGTAATATTTCGTCTTCTTGGTCTAATAAAAACAGGTTGGCAGGAGGGGCATGGGTTGTTAGGGACCATACGGGCTGTGTTTTGTTACATAGTAGGAGAGCTTTCAGTGATTTGAGAGATGCTCAAGAGGCTAGCTTTGCTTGCCTTCAGTGGGGTATACAATGTATGTTGACCCACAGATTTCCAAGAGTAGTTTTTGCTCTTCAAGATCATGTTTTGGTTGGTGTGTTAAATCGACCCAGAGCTTGGCCTTCTTTCAAGTTTCAAGAGCAAGAACTGAGGATTTTGTTGTAAGGAGGTGTGGTTTGGAAGTTGTGTTTAGAGTCCTCGAGTACGAACAGAGGAGCTTCTCTCATTGCTCAAAGTGTGACTTCGGACTTTAGGTTGCAATCCTATGTCGCTTCTGGTTTCCCCTTTTGGCTGAGGGGTGTCTTTGAAGATGAGAGAGTTCCTTTTTCCTCTGTTTGATGGTAAGGAGGGGTTTTTTGTTTGATGTTGGTTGGGTTGCCTAATTCTTTTGTATTGGCCCTTGATTGTTTTCAATGGTGCTTAGTTTAGGCTTTTTGTGGCTCAGTTGTTTGTTCTGATGGTTGACCTTTATGGTCTCTTGGGTGTAGCTCGGCCTTAACCCATTTCAATATATAAAACCAGATGACAAAAAAAAAAAGTTTTGCATACAAAGGAAAAAAAAAAATTGTGGGCCCCTTGGGTTTGTGGGCCCCTAGGACTTGCACTGCTCACCCCCATGTTAAGCCGGCACTGAGTATTATTATTTCACAATAAGGAATAATAAAATGTCAAATTCAGTATCATTTTAAATTCTATATCAGGGTTGACGAATCATAATATTCAGGCCTAAGTTAATAATACAACTCTAATATTATTCTTACATTAAGGAATAATGTGAATGTCAAACTCAATATCGCTTTTGGTTATAGAGCAAACAAACCACACACTTGTGTGGACTAAAAATATAAAGAGTCTTAACTCTTATCCAATCCTAAAAAAGAAGGAAAATCTGGGTTTGATTGGTAACCTTGTACCACAGCGGTGGTACAGGGTGTACCGCTTTGACAATATCACAAAAGCGATATCAAAAACGTTACTAAAAACTTTACTCAAATTTTTTGTACTACTCTTTCTTACAGTTTTGCAGTATTCCGTAACAGTTTACCGCTCCAGCTTACAGTTTTGCATTATTCCGTAACAGTTTATCGCTCCAACTTACAGTTTTTTTTGTACAACTTTGTATCAATCAGACCCAGAATGACATGGAAACGTGTTTGAGATGTTGCAACAACTAGTTCAAAACGTGGCAGAGAACATTTTATCAACCTTAAAGAAAGAGCAGAACCAATTAACATACGTCCATATCAGTATACATATACCCTGAAGGAGGAAACTGATGAAGTGATGAAAATGATGTTAGAAGAATATGGATCATCTAATCGAGCATATCAGACCGTATTCAGGTCCATTTTTCCTCGCACTATCGAGCCTTAAACAAGCTCACAGTGCCGACAAGTACCTAATCCCCGTGTTGAGGTGTGGCCAAAGGTTTGCAGGGTAGATTAATTTTGGACTGATCAACTTAAAAAGTGATCTGTATTCTCTATAAAATCAGAATTAAATCCTACTCGTATACACTGTAAAAAGAGTTGAGAGGCATACAAATCAGGAGAAACTATCAGCAGTTTTCTCTTCATATATAGTATAAGTTTAGTACAATCTTCTATGTATTCATAAATTAAACCCAAATCAACAAGCTTGTACATATTCACTCGACTAAAGCAATACAAGAGAGTTAAATATTGTTTCTCACTGTCTTCTGTGAAAGCTCTGCTTGGATAACACACACGGATTCAACGTCTTTTACTCTTGGCCTTGGTGACTCGATTTTTCATAGATGCATCTGGCGGCTTCCAAATGATGTCATCAAGCTTACTACAAAAAGTCTTGTAGAACTGCAAAACATAATTGGTTTTTACTATTCTGAGACGAGTCAAACAAACCCTCAAGGTGAACTTATAACACTAAGGTCCTCTTCTGAAACTAACCTTAAGGTATTCTTCTGCGTCTCCTGCTGCATTTTGAATGTCTACCATGAGAATTGATGGTGCAACTTTGAAGACCTTCATATTAGAAATGATTCGTAAGACTTCAGATATAGAGAGACCAAAGTAAAAAGATGGACTGGTTTTATTTAAGAGAAGTTACTTCTAGAATGACGGAGAAATGAGACGTCTTATTTGCAGATAATCCTTCGACTCTCATCTGAAAATGGAAATGGGTTCACAGCTGTTGGGTGCTCATGAGATGATGAAATAAAATAACAAACTCTAAAGAAATGTTAAGACATCACAAAAAAACAATGAAGCGATTTCAACCGATAAGAATGCCTAACCAACTATTACTCTAGTTTCTCACCTTGTAATTACGAATGTGAGTCTTAAAGCCCATAGACTGCGACACAACTTCCATGCTTGAGAGAACCACGTTTGCTGGCTTGTGTGAGATGAACCTTGTCTGGTGCTTCATGGAGTCCTGTCAACACACTTGAAAGATTAAAGCAATAGTTGTATAATATGTAGGAATGAGAAGAACAACTGAATAAGGTATAGGAATGCACACAGCGTGGTCACACCCAGCATTGTACCTTTCCACGGTCAAAAAGAGTTGCGAGGTTCAAGCCCTGAGATAGAATAATTAGGTCAAACGCATTTAGAGTCAGTGGACCCGTGGACCCTGTTCCATCCTGTGCATATGTATGTTCCTGCAACGTATAATGTTACATATCAAAATATTCGATCATGCTGAGTGCATGCAGAAGAATAATCTCATTAAAATTAGAACAACAGTGACTCTGGAAACACATGTTTTATACACAATACTCAACAGCAAACATATAGGGGACAAAGAATTGTACCAACTGAATCCTACCTCCGGATCATCAAAAGCAGCATATACATCATCCAGGTTCACATGTTCGTAATCGATAAGTTGTACAGGAGTGTAATCCTTTAGAAACCACTCATCTTTCCTGATTTCTGCAATTGTAATTCGCTGCCAAGAAAGAAAAAAAAAAAGAGAGAGAGAGCAAGGCTACATTTGTCAGACTTTGTATCTTGAGATGAAAAGAGTAACTTTGGACGACGTCACCCGACAACTATGTCATGTAATGCTTTCAATTGGCACATTATCTATATTGTATAGACCTTCCAAATGATCCAGGACAGTTTTGGAAGAAAATGCTAAGACTTCTAGGGTCTATTCAAGTGTAGAAAAGAATGATATGATTCAAATGGAGCTAGTCAAAGATTATAGTGTAATAGAGATATCTGTTTTTTCAAGCTGCTGTTCTTTCAACATGTAATACATGTTTCAAATACAGTAGCCAGGATTGAAAAATATTTAAGCAAAGCTATCTGCAAGGAAACTCAAAACTTACAGTTTCAGGATTTGGATCCAAAATTCTATTAATCAAGGACTTTGCCCCCAAGGCAAAATATGAGGGGCAAGCGAAGTCAGCTCTGTCGATCTGAAAATTGATGGAAAATAAGAAGAAAAGGAAACCATATCAGAAAGAAAGTACATAGATGCCTTACAAGCACATAACACGTTAGGTTTACAGAAAGGGATTCTTGACTACAGTGAAAATAATTTAGCCACAAGGATTTCTATTACAGGTTCTGCAGATATTGCTTGTTCAATCCTAATGCTTCATTGGGATAATTAAACTAGATAGAAACAAGAACCATTCCAAAACAAAATATCAAGAATCAAGAGGCAACAACAGTAGAGGTCATGCCTTACTATATAAGGTTGGTAGATCCATTTCATCAAATGGAAGATATCCTGCCATAAGAACATAAAGGATGACCCCACAGGACCATACATCTGCGACGGCACCATTGTAACCCTTGTGACTGAGAACCTAAACCAAAACAAAGAAGAACACATAAGCTATGATAAGAAAGACATCAAACATCAAAACATTATGATATTTAATTTACCTCAGGAGCAACGTAATTGGGAGTTCCACATGTTGTCTTAAGGATGGTAACTCCCTTTATATCAAAGAAAGATAAATTTAGTTGATAATGATTCAATAACAAACTAATTCTCAAAATTAGAAAGAAAAACATGAAAATGAGAGCCCCCATTACTTGCTCAGGTAATGCACTGAGGCCAAAATCAGATATCTTGAGATTTCCTTGAGAATCCAGCAGAAGATTTTCCGGCTGCAATTGACACAAGACAATCATCAGATGAACAACAAGTGATAGAAAGGTGTTGATTGATACTCCCAGCAAGAATTCACCTTTAGATCTCTGTGGTAGACACCTTTACTATGGCAGTAATCAACTCCATCAATAAGCTGTTGAAAGTATTTCCTAGCTTCTGATTCACCAAGTCGTCCATTACGAACCTGTAGTAGGCATGAAACAAGTGAATCAGTGACAATATCTTACGCGTTTAAAATCATGACTAGGAGCTAGCTACTCACAATCTTATCAAACAGTTCACCACCAGTAATGTACTCCAGGATGATATAAATCTTTGTACGGCTTGCTAGAACCTAAAGGAGCAAAAGATCAAAATTACTTGTTGTTATATATGAAAGCAAGAATCTTTCAATAACAAAAACATTTCACTTGCCTCATAAAGACGAACAACACAAGGATGGCGAACAAGCTTCATAATCGAGATCTCTCTCTTAATCTGCTAATAACAAACGGTGTCATGTCATCAATCTAATCAGAATCGAAGTCGAGAGTAGTAAGAAGAGAGAGAGACAGAACCTGATCAACCATCTTGCGTTTGATGATGGTACTACGATCCACGATTTTCATGGCGACGCTCTCACCGGTCTCTGTGTTCTGAGCGAACTTGACTTTAGCGAAGGTACCTTCGCCGATTGTTCTACCTAATTCATACTTGCCCACTTTCCTTACCACCATCTCTGCTTCTACTCGATTTCAATTTCACTGCATTTCTCAAGTGAGAGAGAGAAAGAGGAAAGGCAAACAAAAAAAAAAAAAAGTAGAGTTGATGATGGATGGATTCTCTTTTTCGAATTTTGAAATTAAAACTATAACGACAAATAGTATACAGAGTAGATTAGAAGATGGGAAATTTAATTAATTAGGAATGTCTCAAATTTGGGAAAGAGATACGTGTTTAAATTGTCTTAATTGCAAATTGGAATTAAAGAAGCTTTATTAATCAATACAAAGCCAAAGTAATTTATACATTTGTGATTTGCGTATTTGATTAACAAATCTAGAGGTAAAGTAAGTAACAATGGGGTTGGGAGGTTGTTAAGAGAAGTCAGAAAAAAGAGACTTTGACGAAGGAGACGTGTTCGGCGACTACTTGCCACATTCTGATTCTTCTAATATATTGGTTGTTTGTTTACACGTCATTCTTTGTATTGTAGGAAGGTCAACAATATTTATACCATAGTTTCACATATATACGACTCGTAGCTTTTGAAAAATACTACTACTCACCTGTATCTATATAATCTAATAGACTTATATGACCGATTTGATTAGTTAGCAAGACTACGAATAAAAACGTCGTTATGACTTTTTCTATAATTCTTGACTTCGAAAATTCTTTTATGGAGATTATTTGAAATTTATCCGTATTCTAATAATTGCCTTTTGAAAAATTTAAGAAGCATAGTTTGAAGGGATCTGTTTTATAACAATTTGCCTGCCTTCTGGAAAACACATTTTAAAGGATAACCTACCAAAACCATTAATCACCTTTGATCTTGTTATAGGCCGAGATATAAAGGCCCAAACAGCAAGCCCAAACCTTTTTCATTTACACCAAAACTTTGAAGCCTTCTTAAGAACACAGTTGATTGCATTATAAAAATTAAATTCATCTAACAATCATAAGTTCATAACTAATAGTAGTAAAAAGAAGAGATATTTACTCTTTACCACACTTTCTCAAGTTCTCTATCATTCTAGCACACTTTCTAATCTTAACAAACTTTCTTGTGGGTGTTATTACCTAGTTACCCTCTAACTAATACACTCTCTCATCTCTAACCAAAGTTTTGTCTCAAACTACAACCCTTACCAAACAAAACCAAATCTTTATCGTCTCTTTCTTCTTCTTATATTATCTCCATGGTAAGCTCAATTTTCCACTTATTTTCTCGATCTGCAGTGTGCTTCTCTCGATTTTGGTTTCGTCTCGTATACGAATCTTTTGATTACAATTCTGGTTCATTTTGTTGTTTCGTTAGATCTGTCACTGGAATTTGGTTTTAGATCTCTGAGATTTGGAGTTTTTGTGATCGTTGTGTGACTGATCTAGGATCAAAACTGTGCGAGAGAGCTTCTCTGTTGAGTTTACTGTGTTTTTTTTTTCGATTCCGATTGCTAAAATTTGAAATCAGAAGAGTTATTTTGGGCTTCTTGTTCTTGCAAAAAATTTCAAGTGATATATCAATTTCGATAATATTTTGTTGTTTCTCCTATTGATTGATTCATCATAAATCAGAAGAGTTGTTTCTGGTAAGATCTATGTTGCTGGAGGTGGTGGTGGTTTGGAAGTTGCGACGGCCAACATCTCTCTGAGGACGACTTTCAACTTCTCTGCGAATACGTACGCCTTCTTCTTCTTCTTCTTTGTTCTTTTGCTTGCTTTTTCTTTTGGGAAGATTAATGCATCTACAAAACCCAATTCTTAACTCACTCTATTGAGGCTTTAGAGCTTGATTTGTGGCACTTTACTTTGAATCTGGTCTCTCTAGCTACTTTAATGTTTCCTTTGTCATTTTTGGTTTACGGATTTTAGGATTTTTTTCAATAGAGAATTTATTGACTTTGGTGTATGGAGATGTAGTTTCTTATACGTGTGCTTTGTGGTGTGAATGGTGCTTGTGTACAGGTTGGTGAAGATAAGTTTGAAGACACATGAGAGTTTTTCGTGAGAGAAGAAGACATCATGTTATGGTCAAGTCTAAATGGACAATGGCTGCCTCTCCGTTCTCCTTCAACAATGATTTCTTCTCTGTTCTAACCATATCCTGATTTGATTTTTGCTCTCTCTTATGTGTCGAACTCGTTTCATCGACGTAGTAACACAGTCACTTAGGAAAAAGACAATGAACTTCTTTATCCTCTCTGTCGCCGTTTTCGTTGCTCTCGGTTTATCATCTCATCCACAATATGTTGATTCATCTGCTGCCTCCTCACAGGATCCTCTCAGACTCAAGTAGTTGTGTGTGTTTTATGGTCTTTGTTGCTTTGGAGAAACTCTTTTGTGGTCATAGCACCACATCCACATGTTCACATGAATCTCGCCATTCACAAAAAATGAACGATGTACTTTGAATTGGCAATTATTTTTCATGTATAAACTTGTGTCCATACGTTTGAATTGGATTGGTAATTTTTAAATGGGCATATGATAGGATTGGTTAGTTCCATATGGATACGTTATGTATACCCATATGGGTACGTGGTCAGTTCCATATGGATACGTTATGTATATCCATATGGGTACGTTATGTATTATTTCTTTTAACTATTCTTTCGTTCATATCCATTAGCTAATAAGTTTGGTAATCTCTCATTGAAATCCACCAACTTTATAAGAAGCAAACCACCAATTTTATTAGTTTTCACTAGACTAGTTTTAAAAGTCATTTATGATGTGTGTTTGGTAATCTCTCATTGAAATAGACATGTGGACACATAATTATGGACACGATTCAAAATCATCTTTCGTTCTCAATATGATGACACCAAAATGTCCACGACTGAGTTCTCTATACACACTTTATGGATGGTCAAAGGATATTGCTTAGATCAAGTTCTCTATACACACTTTATGACACCGAGATAGTCAACATAGATTACTTGTCATCATCCATATATACAATCTTTGATGGAAACCTTACTTGTCATGTTCTTCTCTTTTATTTGAATCAAATTAGATCAGAACTCTTGAATCGATACATGTGCATTTTTGTTCTTTCAAGCTTTGCATTCACTTTCTCTCAAAGAAGGAGAAGAATTAGAAGAAGTTCAGTGGTTGAGAATGGTTATAAACTTATAATGCTTGGAAACTATCTTGACCCAACCAATGCCTTTGAAGCCTTTATCAATTCTCATAACCACATTCCTTCCCTTTCTGTCACAATTATACACTATTAAATTCAGACACGACTTCGACAAAGTCTAACATACAACGATAACAAGATCAAAGAGAGGAACCACAACAAGCTGAACAAATGGATATGGAATTCAATACTAGAAACCACATCTATGGCATTGGCCTATTCGGTCTTTTCACAGCTTGGTGGTCCATGGTACAACTTGGTGGCTTCTTCTCAAAAAATCACTTTTTCCAAACCAATCTCTCCAACCTTCTCTCAATTGGCAATACCTTAACATGTACTCATCCATCTGTTTCTATCCACATAGCACCGCTCCTCTGGACGCTAGATCAGAAAGTCTTTTATCCCTTGCAAAATCAGCCTACACAAGACAAGAAATGAAACTTAACAGCTCAGTCCCTTCTCCAACAAAGTGTATCCACATCGCCAAACAACATTGAACATATTTATTAGTATATGGCGGTGTCGGATCTAGTGACAAACAAGTAACCATACACAAGTGACTATCGATATAAACATAGGTAAGACCTTTTCATTGATCGATTGATTGTGTATTTACAATCTTTCAACATGGTCGAAATAAAATCCAGAAAATGAATAAGCTCTTGTTCTTGTTCCAATTAAGATCTATTGTTAATGGATTCGGAGCTAGAGGCTAGAGCGTAGGTGATTCAACATCTTTGTCGGAGCTAGAGGCTAGAGCGGAGGTGATTTGACGTTGGCTTCTTCTTCAATTGAGGAGTATTGAAACGAATTTGAAATCGAGTTGCAAATGTTGTTGTTACCTTTAATGTTGGCTTCTATATTCTTTATATTTTTTCACCTTTTGATTTTGTTGAAATCGATGACTACAAAACCTTATCTAGAATTAAGCAGCAAATGTTGTTGTTCCAAACGGAAGAGAAAAGCATTGGATCGTAGCTGGCGCGACCAGACGAGTGAGTTGCAGCGGGGGTTTGAAAGGAGAGAGAGAAGAGAGAGAGAGAAAGATAGAGAGAGTTGAAATTCTTATTTGTTTTTGTTGATGACTTACGCTTCTTTTGCTTTTTGGAAGAAAAGAGATATTTTGTTTCAAATATTTAGTTGGGGGTATAATAGTATTGATTTTTTACAAACAGTAAAAAAAAGATGAAAAACACAGAATATGTGTCTTTTATTAGAAAACTCAAGAAAAGTGTCCCATTGTGTAACTCACCCTAAAAAGAATGAAAGTGACTTTAGATATTATCCATTTTATGAAACAGTACAAAACACTTTTTAATCCTTTTAATTTTGGTTCAGATACAACAAGTTTACATGATTACCAGTTAAAAACTCTAAATGTCACCTGTCACACCTTAAAATAGAAGGACGAATCTTTAAAAGGATAAAATCATGTTTGTTGCCCTCTTTGTCAAATTATACTTGATGATTCGTTTTATTTCTTCATCAACAGAGCTACAAAAATAAATTTAGACAGACAAAAAAATATTAGTTTTTTTTTATAATTAAAAAAAAATGGGAAATAGTCTCCCAAATAATGGAGGGTGAAGTGGAGAGAGAGAGAGAGAGAGAGTCCAAACTCAAAGACCAGCTCCTCCTTTTTCAGCTATCTCTTCTTCATCCATCTGAATCGGACTTTGTATCAGAAAGAGAATAAAATTCTGGAAAGATCAAGTAAGATTGATTCTTGGAGAAATTGTTGTCATTTACTTGTATGACAGAAGAAGATAGCTCAGCAAAAATGTCAGAGGATGTTGAGCGATATCTCAAGTTAAATCCACCTTGCTCCTCCGCCGTTGCGTCTCGCACTTTCAAATCTTCTACGCCGCCATGTCCAGATCATGTCCTCGAGAACGTTTTAGAGAACGTGCTTCAGTTCCTCACTTCCAGATGCGATCGCAACGCCGTTTCATTGGTCTGCAGATCGTGGTATCGCGTCGAGGCTCAGACCCGATTCGAGGTTTTTATCGGTAACTGTTACTCGCTCTCTCCTGCTCGGCTCACTCACCGGTTCAAGCGTGTTAGGTCTCTTGTGCTTAAAGGGAAACCTAGGTTTGCTGATTTTAATCTCATGCCTCCTAATTGGGGTGCTCAGTTCGCGCCTTGGGTTGCTGCAACAGCTAAGGCTTATCCTTGGCTCGAGAAGCTTCATTTGAAGCGTATGTTTGTTACGGATGATGATTTAGCTCTTCTTGCTGAGTCGTTTCCTGGGTTCAAAGAGCTTACTTTGGTCTGCTGTGAAGGTTTTGGGACTAGTGGTATTGCTCTTGTTGCCAACAAATGCAGGTAATTTCTAGATCTCTTCTCTTTGTTTGTTTGTTCTCAGGTCTTTTAGAAATGCTTGAGAGGTTCATATCATGAAAGTGAGTTTTTTTTCATGAACTTATCAAATGGGGGTTTGTTTTCAGACAGCTAAAGGCTCTTGATCTGATGGAGTCAGAAGTCACCGATGATGAGGTGGATTGGATTTTTTGTTTTCCTGAGGGTGAAACTCATCTGGAGTCTTTGTCTTTTGACTGTGTTGAATCCCCTATCAATTTCAAGGCATTGGAGGGGCTCGTGGTTAGGTCACCGTTCTTGAAGAAACTTAGAACCAACAGATTTGTTTCCCTTGAAGAGCTGCATCAACTAATGGTTCGAGCGCCGCAGTTAACCAGTCTTGGCACGGGATCATTTAGTCCAGACAATGTGCCTCAGGGTGAACAACTACCGGATTATGCATCTGCTTTTCGTGCTTGTAAATCCATAGTTTGTCTCTCAGGATTCAGGGAATTCAGGCCGGAATACCTCCTAGCTATCTCTCCAGTTTGTGCTAATCTCACCTCTCTTAACTTCAGTTATGCTAACATTTCTCCTCACATGCTCAAGCCCATCATACGCAACTGTCACAATATCCGAGTCTTCTGGGTATGTATCTTTCTTGATCTCATTGTATAATATAGTGTAATACCTGTTAACCGAGGACTTTGAGTTACATGCATATATTGAAACTTTTATAATGCAGGCTCTTGACTCGATACGAGATGAAGGACTACAGGCAGTGGCTGCCACATGCAAGGAGCTCCGTGAGCTTCGGGTTTTCCCTTTTGATCCTCGTGAAGACAGCGAAGGTCCTGTCTCAGGAGTAGGCCTGCAAGCAATATCAGAGGGCTGTAGGAAACTAGAATCTATCCTGTACTTTTGCCAGCGGATGACTAATAAAGCTGTGACAGCCATGTCTGAGAACTGCCCGCAGCTTACTGTGTTTAGGCTTTGCATAATGGGTCGCCATAGGCCTGACCACGTGACAGGAAAGCCAATGGACGAAGGATTTGGTGCCATTGTTAAAAACTGCCAGAAGCTAACCCGACTTGCAGTATCAGGGTTACTAACAGATGAAGCTTTTAGCTATATAGGAGAATATGGGAAACTGATCCGGACGTTATCTGTAGCTTTTGCTGGGAACAGTGACAAGGCTCTGAGATATGTTCTTGAGGGTTGTCCTAAACTACAAAAGCTTGAAATCAGGGACAGTCCCTTTGGGGATGTTGGATTGCGCTCTGGTATGCATCGGTATTGCAATATGAGGTTTGTTTGGTTGTCGTCATGTGTCTTATCTCGGGGAGGCTGTAGGGATGTTGCTCATGCTCTGCCTAATGTAGTGGTGGAAGTATTTGGATCAGATGGTGATGATGATGACGACACTGTCACTGGGGATTATGTTGAGACACTGTACTTGTATCGGTCCCTTGATGGCCCAAGGAAAGCTCCAAAGTTTGTAACAATTTTATGAGAAAAAACTTTGGTGCAGATGAGGCCATGCTTGGGGAAAAGCAAAGCTAGCTAGCAGAAGATAATGTGTTTGTAAACTGTAAGTGCTTCAGCTACACTGCATGATTTGTTTTGCCATTTGACTCTTCTTTGAATTCGTCTTATACCAAGAAGAGTGTAGTGCGAAGAAAGAAAAAGTTATGAAAAGGAACGAAAGAATGTCTATTATTGTTAGTGTTGTAATAATTGTTTTTCACAAACATTGCCAGATTTATTTACAGCCATTTCACGATTATTATCCAAAGAATTATTCGTTATACATATAACATTTTAAGCTTTTCTACTTTGTTGGCTTACTACTATTTTCTTCACCATTCTTGTCTTCCTCCATCACCAGATGCTCAATGGTATCGATGAATGCGGTAACTTTCTCCAAGCTTTTGTCATCAAGCCTCGGGACAGTATGGCCTTTGGGATGATGAACAACCACCGGATTCTTGTACGATTCTATCAGCTGGGTTCCGTAAGGTTTCAAGAAATCAGTCTCTCCTGCAACAAACAAGCCAGATACCAGATTCTCAATCATCAATGAACAAGCTTTTGCAGAATTTACAAATCAGCTTTTGCAGAATTTACCTAAAAAGTGGAGGGAGAGAGTTTCCAAGGAAGACGAATATGCATTCTCTGCCAATTTGGCGGATTTGAGCTTAGCTCCTCCAATGATTATAACAAACTTAATCTTTGGTACTTTCTGAAGTGCAATTCCCTGCACAATTTTCAAATGTATCAGAAACAGCATTTGTAAAAATGATCATGAATACTATAGTATATAGTATTGTTGACGTACTTTAGCTTGCAGTCCTGGTAAACCCCCAGACAAAATTGCCCCCTACAAAAGAGAGAAATCAAATTTTGAGTTTCAAAGGGAGTAAACAACAAATCAGACTCTGTTTGATGCAATTTCAAATGTAGATTACCTGAGAAAACCCAATGAGACCATCAAAGGGACCAAGTTTGATCATGCGATCCTCTAGGTACTCCAAACATTTCTCGAAATTCGTATACTCCGTGAATTCCTGAATTCAAATTTCAATAACGTTAATAGACGAATAGTATCAAAGTGAGAGAGGATATAGGGGAAAAACAAAGGACCTTGTTGAATTGAAACCACTCGTAATAAGGAGGATCAAAGATGCCTTCGACATCAGATTTGCCTTGACATGGAAAAGGTGCATCGAGAAACACGAGATCGAGTCTATCAATTACAGATTTAGGCCATTTGTGAAGCTGTATCTTCATTATCTCTGCGCTCGTACGAAATCCATGGAGACACAAAAACCTTGGTTTCCTCGCAATCGATCTTCCTTCGCTTCCCATTTTTCACAATTTGTTATCTGTTGTCTCCCTCTTGCTTCGCCTTTTTATAACGCTCTGTTGCAATCTCTTCCTTCTTCCAGGAACCATCGTGGTTCACATTGCAATCATATAAATTATTTTTTTATTTTCTTCCTTTTTAAAAAAAATTTAACTCACATGGAAAATACCAAAAAAAGGTTGAAGAATTGAGAAAGTCAGGTTTTCTTCCTTTTCTTATTGGGCCAACCTGATTGGTTGGCAAATGTTGGTCAGACATCGACGGTAGGTAAACAATCAGAGCTTCCAACGGACGGTGGAGATCAAATAATATCTCACGGGAATTTGGAATCTAAACCGCGTGGGAAACGACACCGTCTGCCCGCAAGTTAGGCGTCTTTCCAATTAAAATCGAACCAATATTAAACCGGATTCTGCATAGATCATCATAATAAGTCAAATCCGGTTTTTAAAAATCGATTTGCGATCAACAGATTAGAAGAGAGATGAGGAAAGGAGGCAAGGAAGAAGACGAAGTTGAACAATTGCTTCAAGCGGCTCAAGATGAGATGATACTCAAGCTCTCTGTAGATTCTCACACTTCTCGATCCTCTTCCGATTACTTAGATCCAGATCTCCACTCTAGATTTCTCGCTCTCAAATCTCAAAAGAAGAAGGATCAGCAGCAACAACAACATAAACGACGGCCGAGATCTCCGAAGAAATCGAAGGATGTGGTTGAAGAAACGCCAGACGATCTCATGCTCCGATTCGCGGCTCTGAGGACTTCTCTCCCTTCTGCGTCTTCTTCGTCCTCTGTACTTCTTCAGGATGGAATCGGAGAAGATGGTGATGAAACCGGAGAAGATGCTGAAGTGGAGAAGCTGATTCAATGGGCTATAGACGCCGCCCGTCTTGATCCTTCTCCGCCTTCAGACGATGATCAAAGCCAGAGTTCCGATAGCGATGATGAGAATAATTCAACGAAAGATGTTAAACCTTAATTTTAGTTGAGCTTTTTAAAGATTGTCACATAATGAGTTAAAGTCTGGGAAATTGTTGATTTTTGCATTGAAACTGTTACGATGAAGTTGATTACATCATTACAATCCAAATCATTTGTTGTCACGGGATCGTTGATATGAACTAGAGAACTAGATTTAAACATTCATGATAAATAGGTTACACATAGGAATTAAGACGGTGGGAGCTTCTTAATGAACTCCAAAACGGCTTTCGCAGTGTTAGTGGCAGCCAAAGATCCAAACTTATGAACAGTGTTATCTCCTCCTACTCCTGCTAAATCTGATAATCCTCTTATCACAATTACGGGATAACCATTTGATGCGCATGTCTGGTCAAATTCAAAACACTAACTTCAAAATCAAGTGAAATTAATGGATTCAAAGATGAATATTATTACCATGGCCACTGCAGAACTCTCCATATCTGAGGAGGAAACACCAAAAGTATCGTATAAGAAATTTCTGTAGGCTGCATTATCCACAAATATGTCCGCAGTGGCTGCTTTCAGTCCAACAACCAATTTCGGTTTCTTTGGAAGACACAAACTTGCATTCACACACTGCGACAGCTCTATCTTCTGCAACCATATACCACACGAAAAACCGTCGTTAACAATGGAACCATTCTTTGTTATAATTTATAATCTAATCAGTACGTATTGTTGTTCTTAACAACCTCTAGATCAGCTGCAAGATGAAGCCACTCTTGAGTTGTATTGATCCAAAACACATTCTCAGGTATATTGATGCGACCAGTGACTGAATATAGTTGCTCGTAACTGTATCCAATACTCCCTAACTCATTGTTGCCATCTCCTTTTGGAACATTATAGTTCCCGACATCTAAGTATACTAAATCCTCACCTCCCTTTGCTTTGTCTGGATTCTGTTTTACTCAGAACCAAAAGCATCGATCAGACTATATAAAGAAGAAGCAATCAAATTGGGTAACTTTAATATATATTTACCAGCCAATCCCACAAGCCAGCATTCGTGATTTGCTTAGGGATGCTCACATCTCCTATGGACATTGAGTTGTTCATATTTCCTGCAATCCCAAAATGCACAATCCCTTTCACATTGAACACATCTATCATCTGTTGTGTTGCTGCTGCTCCGTTCACCTGCAATTTTTTTTTTTTTTAACATTTACCATCTCCTTTTTATATAAACTGTTGGTTTGATACTTTCCAGTTTCCATATGGATTAAAAAGTTACTATTTAAATTTACTAATATGCATATTTAATAATATACTACTTATAAGGTTTATCATCATTTCAATTATTTGATACGGATCAGGATTTTTTGGTCTGCGCCTATATTTGGCATGTGGCAGCCCCATTGGTGTATAGTGTATACTACTTTTAGATAAGAAATAAGAGCCATATAAACACTCTTATTTTGCTGTATTCTTTTTTCTTTCTGTTTTGGATAATTTAATGTTGTGGTTACTCACCATTCCTCTCCCACATCTGACATACACAACCTTCTTTCCATGAACCTTCCCTATTCGAAAACGTCTTCCTGTATTCATATGGTCATAAAATCAGAAACTACTAACATTTTCATCTCAAAAGAACTTAACCAAAACAAAGGGTACTTGCATTTAACCAAAACAAAGGACTCTCTTTTAAGTTAGAAACCTTGAAAAATTAAAAAATCGATTCAAGTGGATACCAGAGAGATCCAAGAAGGGATGAGTAGGGTCGGGTCTGAATTCGACACTGCGGAGAAAAGCATTTTCTTCGGTCTCAATGACCGTCACGAGGCCGATGTACGGTCCTCTGAGGTTGAGTTTTCTAATGGTAATGGCGGATTTTAGTTTGTGTGAAGGTGTGAGTGAAACAGGCAAAACGTGGAAGGAAGATATGATGATGATGATGAGCAGAGGAAGAAGATAAAGATTGTGGTCCAGGGAAGCCATCTGATTGGTTGGTTGGAGATTTAAATCCACAGCTGCATATATATCATCCAATTCCGACACCTCTACGAGGCTGCTATGAGCAGAAACTACTATCAAGTTTCTTCTTTCCACGTGATTCTCGTTTCTTTAGTTTTTTCCTTCAATAGATTCAACATGAGGCTGCTGTGCACTATTAATTTTGACAAATACCCTGCAATATACCACTACAAATAAATTTTGTTGACAATAATAATAGACACTCTACAAATTTCCAAAAATACTATTATTTATAAACACTAACATTTTTGCCCTTATTTGAATTGAAACATGATTTGATCAAAATCATTTGCTATCAACAAAGAGACCTATATATAATTCTAGTTTTGAAATTCCATGCAAGAAGCTGAATACTCATTTGATTAAAGAAAAAAGAAACAGATTTTATTAATTTTATTGTTAACATAAAGATTAGGGAAAATAATACATATTCATAATGATAGTGGGAGCTTCTTAATGAACTCCAAAACAGCTTTTGCAGTGTTAGACCATCTCCAATGCCCACCTCTATATTTTCCTCTATTTTAGAAGAACTCTATTTCAGAGGAGATTTTGCTCCAATGTATTCCTCTAAAATAGAGTTTCCTCTAAAATAGAGGAGAGAGACAACAGATTACTCTATATTTAGTGATATACCGATGAACAACCATCAACAATGGAATAATAATTCTTTTGTTAGAAAAATTCTAATTAATATAATCAAATATTTCATTCTGAACAACCACTAGATCAGCTGCGAGATGAAGCCACTCTTGAGTTGTATTGATCCAAAACACTTTCTGTGGTGAATTGATGTGACCATTGACTGAATATAATTCCTCGTAACTATATCCAATAGTCCCTAACTCATTCTTGCCTTGTGGAACATTATAGTTCCCGACATCTAAGTAGGCTACATCCTCACTTCCTTTTGCTTTGTCTGGATTCTGTTCAGAACCAAAATCATCAGACAATAATAAGAAGGAGAAGCAATTATATATCAATAACACAACTTGTGTAACTTTTATATTTACCAGCCAATCCCATAAGCCAGCATTCGTGATTTGCTTAGGGATGCTCACATCTCCTATGGACATTGAGTTGTTTATATTTCCAGCAATTCCAAAATGCACAATCCCTTTTACGTTGAACACATCTATCATTTGTTGTGTTGCTGCTGCTGCATTCACCTGCCATATTTATATAAAGTGTTGGGTTTGATACTTTTCATATGGATTTAAAAATTATTTTAAGTATACTATGCCCCAATCAAAAAATTTACTATATCAAATTTATTTTGTGATTTAATATAAATTTTGATTATCATTTCAATTATTTTAGTCTATTTTATTTATTCGGATCCGTGATTTGTGCTCATCCCAGCTATGTACAACTTTTTAAGTTAAGAAATAATATTAGAATAACCAAATACTGTAAACTCTTTTTCACGTTGTTTTGGGGTCAACACTCACCATTCCTATCCCACATCTGACATACACAACCTTCTTTCCATGAATCTTCCCTATCCGAAAACGAAAACGTCTTCCTGCATTCATTTACTCATAAAATCATAAAGTACTTACATTTTCATCTCAAAAGGGACAAATATATTTATTACTCTCTCTAGATAGAAAATCTGAAAAGAAATCAATTCAAGTGGTAATTAAGCTTAGTAGATACCAGAGAGATCGAGGAAAGGATGCATAGGATCGGGTCTGAAATCAACACTGCCGAGAAAAGCATTTTCTTCGGTCTCAAAGACTGTCACGAGACCAATGTAAGGTCCTCTACGGTTGAGTTTTCTGATGGTAATGGCAGATTTAGTTGTGTGAAGGGGTGGTGGAAGCAAGCAAAACGTGCAGGGAAGAGATGATGATGATGAAGAGGAGAGGAAGAAGAAAAGGATTTTGGTCCTGGGAAGCCATATGATTGTTTGGTTTGAGATTTAAATGCCCTGCTCATGTCTACATATATATAGCATCCAAGTCAAACCTCAACCATGAGCCGAAACTAGTATGATGCATGTTTCTTATTTCCATGTGATTCTCGTTTCGTTAATATTTTATTTGTGATCTGAGATGATAACGTATTTTATTAGTGAGTGCAGACCATGCATCAATATAATATATATAGCTTCATGCCTTAAATTAACCATCGTGTGATTAAATGCTTCTACATATTAACATGTACTTATTAATCAAAAATGATTAATTATTATTAGAAGGGAGGTTTTGTCTAATTTGTGGCTGTTACTTTTATGGGCCGCTCTTAAACTTTTGGATATGAGCTTAAAGATATCTTTAGTGTGGATAATGGTCCAAAACACCGAAGCTAATTAAGCTTGCTTGTTTGTTTGTTGTGCAAGGAAAAGCAGAGAATGAGCATTGTCAAGAGATTCATTTGATTGGGAAATTAATGCTGGAACTCCGAGAGAACATGAGCAATATCAACAGTCAAGAGTCCTCTTTGTTAGTGACAAGCTCCATTTGCCTTTCTCAGCTAACGAATTTTATTTTATGATTGAAGAACATGAGCATAAATTTTACGGAATAGAGAATGATTTTTGGAAAAAGTCTGAAGAAAATTGAAGAGAAAATGTGTGATTGAAAGGAAAACTGATATAGACAGAGGGTTAGTTAGGAGTTTAATAAACATTTGCATTTGCAATTGTGATCCAAAAAAAAAAAAACATAACCACCATACTAACCTATAGTATAAATGAATTTGAATATCTGATTCCCAAGGAAACCGAATTGTGTTACTCCTTATTCATTGTATGGATTGCATTCCATGATATAACTAACTAACTTGTATCGCTTTGGTAATTCTAAAACCTCTTTGTTAACAGGGCTCAAATTATCTCACTATGTGAAGTAGAAGTCGATGCACTTTTGTGTGCCAGAGATACAAGCAAGAGGTAGACAGACGACCACTAGCATAAGGGATCTCCGCAATTCTACATTCTTTTGTCTCTTTGATAGAGTTCATCCTCAATCGTTTAGTTCACATCGTCCACCTATATTTGTTTGCTTTTAATTGTAATTACATCCTATAAATGAATTTTATGGATAGAAGATGTATTAAATTCTAATGTTATTGGGTTTGACAAAACATCCAAGATGGACCTTCATTGGGCCAGACGAAATTGATATAAAGAAAAAGAAAAACTAAGTGGCCCACTCCATGCACTTATATATCTCTACGTGAGATAAGAGAAAGTGGAGGTAGGTGTGAGATAAGACAGAAAAAGAGGGTTCTAGAGAAAGAGAGAAAACGTTAGAGTTCTCAAGAAGCTTTCTCCCTGTTGTTCTTTTGTGTCTTTGATCTTGTTCTTACTGAGCTTGTACCTGAAACCAAAAGATATCATCACAAGTTAGTGGTGTGTGTAACCTCTTTGATATAGTGAAGCTTGGAAGCAAGAGTCCTTCCCCGAGACGTAGCGGTTAGGCCGTGAACTCGGTTATCAAATTCTTGTGTTTGTTCCTTTTACAAGCTACTCTTCTTCTCAGTTTTCTCTACAAGTAGTATCAGAGCGATCCAAGTTTGATTTCAAGGAAGATAGCTAGCTATGGAACCAACAAATGCAAAATTTGAGATTGAGAAGTTTGATGGCAAAGGAGATTTTGGGTTGTGGAAGCATAAGATGATGTGTCAGTTAGAGATTCTAGGCTTAGAATCTGCCTTGGTTGAAGATGCTACACCATCAGACCCTGGAAGTCAAGAGGAAGGAGGTGAACCTAGGGTAGATCCAAAGAAAGCAGAGAAAGATAAAAGAGCAAAGAATCTGATCAGCATGAGCCTAAGCGATCTGATTCTAAGGAAGGTTATGAAGGAGACTACTGCACTTGGGATTTGGAAGGCACTTGAAAGAGACTACCAGACAAAGACCTTACCCAACAGGATCTATTTGAAGCACAGGTTCACAAGCTTCAAGATGGTGGAAAATAAAAGCATTGAGGAAAATCTGGATACTTTTCTCAAGCTAGTTGCAGATCTAGCAAGTTTAGACATCAACATTAGTGATGAAGACCAGGCTCTACAATTCATGGCCGGCTTACCACCACAATATGATTCACTAGTTGATACACTCAAGTATGGGAGTGGGAAGGATACCCTGACACTAAACGCAGTCATAAGTTCAGCATACTCAAAAGAAATTGAGTTGAAAGAAAAGGGATTGTTGAACGTGTCAATACCAGATTCAGAAGCATTAATGGTTGAATCTAGAGGCAGATCAAATTATAAGGGGAATAAAAGGCCATGGACTCGAAGTTCTAGTGGGAACGGGAAATTTCAATCAAGGCCAAGTAACAACACAGGTTGTTTTATCTGTGGAAAGGAAGATCACTGGAAAAGGGAATGCCCTCAAAGGAAGAAACCTGCAGAATCGGCTAATGTTGCAACTGAGCCTGCGCAACCTTTGGTGTTAACCGTGAGCACTCAAAGCACATACAAGGAATGGGTTATGGACTCTGGTTGTACATTCCATAGTACATCCGATAAAGAAGTCTTGTTTGACTTCAAGAAATTCAATGGTGGTAGAGTGCTAATGGCTTACAACACTCATGGAGAAATCAAAGGAAGTGGGAAAATCAAAATTCAGAATCGTGATGGTTCTGTAGTGATACTTAAGGATGTAAAATACATGCCGGATGTGGGTAGAAATCTTATTTCTTATGGGATGCTAGAAAAATCAGGCTGCAAGTATGAGGAAAGTGATTTCATGGTTCACTTCTACAAAAATAAGAAGAAGGTGATATCTGGAAAGTACCACCAAGGGCTCTATTATCTTCAAGGCACAGTTGCTAAGAGTGAAGTGAATGTGTCACGAGTTGAAACTAGTGAAAATGATATTGCTAAGGCTGAAAAGAAATCAAGAAAGAGGAGGTCTAAGAAGGTGACATCTAATGAGAATCTAATTCAAGGTTCCACTTCCTATGGTTTTGAAAGAAAGAGCTCATCAAATCAAGATAGAGATTCATCTCCATCAAAAGAATTAAAAAGTTCAGAAGAAGTTAAATGTGAAGTTTCAAGTTCTGAGGCATGTGCTTTGGTTGCTATAGAAATTGAAACAAAAGAATATAAAACCTATAAGGAAACGACGAAAAGCACGAAAGGGAAGCATTGGAAGAGTGCTACAGATGAAGACATAGATTCTCAAAGGAAAAACGAGAAGGTGGTTGGGAGTAAGTGGTTTTCTAAACTGAAACCAGAGAAGAGGGATTTCATCAAGGGGGATTTAAGTCTATCTAAGATTCACTCAAGTACAAGACCAAAAATTCTTCAGAGGGAAGCAGTACCTGGTATGAAGTTCCAGCATTGCTGTGAGCTTCTTAACATCCACTGAAGTAGAGCAGCGGCTCCAGGTAACTCCAATAGTCTCGCAAAACAGGATAATCAAGTTGAGTTAGTTTTGTGAGAAGTACTCAAGTGTCAGAATTGAGTAAGGTATTTAATTGGAGTTGGAGTTACCTGTAGGATACTGGAGCTGTGTAAGAGTCACTAGTTCCAGGTGGAGTATCTGGTGAAAAAAAAATCCAAGGAAGTAGGTTAAGAATTTGAAAAAGGTTGATTCTGCTTCAGGTGGAGCTGTGAAGAGTAAGAGAAATCAAGAATAGAATTTCTCAGGTGGAGTTTCTGCAAGAAGGATTGTGAAATCAAAGTTATGATTTTGCAACGTCTCTGAAAATTAGTGGATTCAGAGACTGGACACGGCATGAAGAATGATGATTCAGGCTAAGAGGTTACCTGTAGTTATCAAAGAAGAAGAGAAACACGGGTTTGTTGTTCATCGGAGAAGAGATGAAGCTCGTCGGAGAAATGGAACCGATATCCTGAGATGGATTAAAAAGGAGAAATTTTTAAGTTTCTCAAAATTCTGGAAATTTTCAAGGATCCTAGTCTCTAAGTGTCACAAGAAGAGACAAGAGAGAGATTAGAGGATACCTTGGATGAACGGTGACGGCGGCAGTCCGATTCACCGGAGAAGACGAGCAAATCGGGTCAGGTTCATGAGAAAGAAGACGAAGGAGATGTTTTTTGATTCGTCGAAATTGGGAGCCGCCGTGAAACAGGTGGAGGCTGAAGCTTACTTTCACCGGAGAAGATTCTAATCTCTAAGTGTGTAACAACAGTCAAGGAGAGAGATTAGAGAGTACATGAGATTAATGGTGACGGCGGCGGTCGGATTCGGTGGAGGAGAACGCAGCCGAAGCTAATCGCCGGTGAAGATGGCTGTGATGGTTCGTGGTCGAGAGGCAGAGATGAGAGGCGAAGATAGTGTTCTTGACTCATCAAAATTGGTTACCGGCGGGAACAAAGTTGTTAGCCGGTGATGGAGGATGTCACCGGAGTAGATCGCCGGAGGAGGTGGCGATCCGGTGGTGGCGTTGAGCTTCACGTAGGGACAAAGGAAAGAGGTTGGTTGTCAGAGCGTCGATGTCGTCGAGGTTGGTGTGTTTGTCAAAAGGTGGAGATTGTTGTTGGGTTTGACAAAACATCCAAGATGGGCCTTCATTGGGCCAGACGAAATTGATATAAAGAAAAAGAAGAACTAAGTGGCCCACTCCATACACTTATATATCTCTACGTGAGATAAGAGAAAGTGGAGGTAGGTGTGAGATAAGACAGAAAAAGAGGGTTCTAGAGAAAGAGAGAAAACGTTAGAGTTCTCAAAAAGCTTTCTCCCTGTTGTTCTTTTGTGTCTTTGATCTTGTTCTTACTGAGCTTGTACCTGAAACCAAAAGATATCATCACAAGTTAGTGGTGTGTGTAACCTCTTTGATATAGTGAAGCTTGGAAGCAAGAGTCTTTCCCCGAGACGTAGCGGTTAGGCCGTGAACTCGGTTATCAAATTATTGTGTTTGTTCCTTTTACAAGCTATTCTTCTTCTCAGTTTTCTCTACATCTAAGATACTTTAAAGATGAATTTTGGTAGTGATATCTTAATATAGACCACCATATATTTTTGAGCTATATATCCTCATTTTTTACATTTAGTTTTTGTTTTTATTTTCCCTTAAAATAAAATAATTTGTCAGATGAATTTTTACGGAAAAAAAAAAAAGAAAGATCTGGTGGTGGCCAAGGAGGCTTAGGCTATAGCACGACGACTCAACTCGTCCCAGCTAATTTATAACATTTCTCCGGAGCTCCGAGTCTTCTTCTCTCCGGATCCAAACAATGAATCTCGTTTCTCTCTTCTCCATCGCTCTGATCGCTTTCCTCTGCCTCCATCATCGTGTTCTCGCTTCTTCTTCCGACTTCGAAGGTTTCGATGCTGAAGACGACGATGTTTTAGACGATTCCACTGAGCTTCACCACTCTCTCCGTCCTCCTCTTCTGACTCAGTCTGAGTCAACGGTTCTGGATCTGGACCCACCTTCCGATTCTGATTCCACTACTCCGGCATCTAAATCGGATCCTCCTACTCAGACCGTGAAGCCTTCGTCCATCTCCTTCGATTACTGGGATGAAGATGAGTTCGAAGGATTGCCGGAGGATGAGAAATCGATGGAATCTCCGGTTATTTCCGATGACGCCTCTCCTGCCGCCGATCCACAGACGCCAGATCTTGAGTCTGCTTCAGAAACTGCAGATACTGACATTCCGAAGAAGAAGCAATCGTACACGGTGGAGATCGTTTGCGTCTCTATATTGATTGGTTACGCAATCAATTACTTCACTGGTAAACGTGAGAATGAAAACCTTGCTTTGGCCTGGGCTTCCAAATTTGGTCTTAAAGATACCATTTTTGAGAAAAACTTCAGTTTGCTTGGAGTTGGTGAAGGAGAAGACTCTCCTTTGTTGCTCAAAGAAGCGACGAATGTGTTTAAGTTCTATGCGAGTGGGCGTAGGTATTGCCATGGGCTTTTGGCGACCTTGGAGCTTAAGAGCAGACACGATCTGATCTCAAGGCTATTCAACTCTGTTGTGCCTTGTAAAGATGAGATCAGTTTCGAGGTTTACATGAACGATGAAGCCATGGATCATATTGTGTTTGCGATGGCGAGGAAGAAGGCGGCGAAAACGATGCACAAGGAGCTGAGGGATCTGCAGAGATTCGGAGGGATGGTGCCCAGTCCTGGAGGGAGGAAGTGGGTAACGGAGGAGTTAGCTGTGGTCTCGGAGTCTAAGGAGGTAGCTGGAGATATGATCACCGATGTTGTACTTGATCAGGTCAGATGCTTTTTTTTTTGATGATGGACAATGATAGCAGTTTAGTTTAGTTTCTTCTTCGACTTCAGCCTAACCATTCAATGGATGAACATGAAAGTTCATAGGAAGTTTTGAGAGAGTAACTGGTTTTAACTCCAATCCCTATATGCCATGGCCTCATGGTGACTTGGATTTTCTGTAATCATGTTGAATTAGAAAAATGAGCTCTTTTACTCCAAAGGGAGGCGCTTGATCAGACTAAGAACTCCAGTGATCAGTTGGCTTAGAACTATGGCTGGGCAGTTCCTTTTGCTAAGAACCATAACATCTTCTTATTCTGGTGTGAATCCAACTGCCTAGTCTCTCTGTCAAACTGTATAATAGATGTAGGGTGAATACTTATGATGTACTGAAAAATTCCTTTCGTTCCTCTCGTCATGATAATTTGGCTCGATTGTAGTGATTTGTTGAAGGATCACTACCTGAGTTGTAAATGTAATATGGGTGAAGTACTAGTGTGTATAATGTCCTTCTCGCTTACATTAAAAGTTTCAAAAGAGCATTTGAATTTTGTGTTTTTCTCTGATGTTTGACCACTAATCAAAGAGTAGCATGCATACATGACTGTTAGCAAATGCAGTTGCTGCGGGATGGCTACTGTTACATTCTCGTAAATTTTGAATATATATCTCAATTTTATTCGTCAATAGTGACACAGTTGCCTTGAGTGAATTGGCGCATGATTAGCGTCACCTACTCTCACTATCTATATCTGTAGATGTGGATATCGATTATATTGGACTTAGATAGTTTTTGCTTGCTTATTGATGTGTGGTTTTTGTATCTCATCAAATTATCTGTTGTACTAATCAGACTTAAATGATGCAATTGCGCTCTGTAGGTTTTTGGTGACAAGTCTTTTGAAAAGTTTGGGAAGTATTTCATCTCAATGCATTTTTCGGATCAACATCCTGGCAAACACAGGAAGATGCTGCTTTTCAAGTTTGCCCTACCTGATGCTAAACACATGGATGATATGGTTCGGTTGATCGCGCTAATTCCATATTACATTGACTTAATTGGGCGCTACAAGCTCAGCTCTCAGGTATAGGGGCGAACTTATTATTACTCGCCATTTTATCGCTAAGTGTGACAGGTTAAATAAATCTAAATCCGCTACCTGTAATGCAGGCAAGGAACAAAACTGACGGTGCTAGGCAAAAGGCAGCTCAGGAAGCGTACAAGGAACTTGAGAATGTGAGACAAGAGGCATTGCAGAGAAAGAAAGCCGAAAAGAAGAAAATATTGGAGGAGGCACAGGCAAAGCTTAGTGCCGAGGCTCTAAGGAAGAAAGAAGCAAAAGAACGTGCACGCCAGATGAAAAAGTCAATGCCGAAAGTTAAGATGAGTCGAGGTCACTAGAATCAAGCATAAGGACACAGTCTCATGTCGTCCATTGGAATAGCTACTCCCTTTTTAGTCCGTTCGATTAGATATTTGTCCTACTTTCATGAAACTCTCTACTTGCAGTTGATTTTTACTTCATTACGATTTCCCCTATAGTGGCACCGAGGCCGTGCTTCCGGGACCTCTTTGAATCATAAGATGAGTTTTGAAGTTATAGGCCTGGCTTCTTGTTCACTGAAGTAACTAAAACAGCCTTAATCTTCAGATAGTTATGCAAAATTTAAGTATTAATAGCAAAAGTCAAAAGAAACAAGTAATTGCATTTCAAATACACTCTCTATGCCTAACTTTGCACCGAGAGCTCTAATGGCAGCTGCAACCACAAAGCTGGGGAGAGCTCTGCAACAAAGACGCACCTTCGTAAACGCCAGAGTCAAATGGGTCAGTGACTACTACCTCGACGAAGCTGTTCAACGAGAGAAAAACCTCAAGCAAGTTCTCTCTCTCAAGGATCGAATGGTATCTTCTCCGTCGAAATCTCTCCCTCTCTCTTCCCTTTCACTCCTCAAGCCTCTCGTCAATCTCCACATAACCGCCGCCGCGTTTTTCCAGAAATACCCTTCTGTCTTCACCACTTTTCAGCCCTCTCGTTCTCATCCTCTCCACGTTCGTCTCACTCCCCAAGCTCTAGCCCTCCACAAAGAAGAAGAGACGATCCACATCTCGCCGCCTCACCGCAACGTCACCGTTAAACGGTTGACCAAATTCTTGATGCTAACGGGAGCTGGAAGTCTTCCTCTCAATGTCGTCGATCGTTTCAGGTTCGATTTGGGTCTCCCTCACGATTACATAACTTCGCTGATTGGTGATTACCCGGATTACTTTGAAGTAACTGAGATCAAAGATAGGTTAACGGGTGAAAAGACGCTTGCTTTGACAATTTCTTCGCGGCGGAACAACCTCCCTGTGTCGGAAATGGAGAGAAGAGAAGCCACCTTTGATGGGTGTCGTGTGAAAAAAGGATTGCGCATAAGGTATTCGATGAATTTCCCCAAAGGGTACGAGTTGGATAAAAGGGTGAAGAATTGGGTGGAGCAATGGCAAAATCTCCCATACATTTCGCCTTATGAAAATGCCTTTCACTTAGGGTCGTACAGTGATCAGGCTGAGAAGTGGGCGGTCGCAGTACTTCATGAGCTTTTGTGCCTCTTAGTATCTAAGAAGACTGAGACAGACAATGTGCTTTGCTTAGGGGAGTATTTAGGTTCGGGATGAGGTTCAAGAATGCTTTGGTGCACCACCCGGGTATATTTTACATGTCGCACAAGATTCGGACCCAGACTGTTGTTCTAAGGGAAGCTTACCACAAAGTTTTCTTGCTGGAGAAGCATCCATTGATGGGGATGAGGCATCAGTACATTTATCTTATGAGCAAATCAGGGAGAGGAAAGAAACGCGACTCTGTTCATGGCATTGAGAGTAGGAAGCAACCAAAAAAGGAGAGCAATCAAAGCTTGTGAAGATGGTGATCAGAGAGGGTATTCGTAGTGTGTAGACTGAATGAGTTGCTATGACTGGGTCGAGTAAGGACAGCTGAATCGAGAATGGAATTGATTGCTGATATGGTAACATTGTGCAAGATTTCATGTTTGAGTCCTTGATTAGGTTCTTGCAGACTCAGCGGGCAATTGGAGTAAACAGAACTTAAGATGTCGCATATTAGCTAGAAAAGGTTTTACAAAGATGCCGGGTCTGACAGCTATTGTCTTCGCACAGAAAGCCGTAAAGCGATTGACGGTGTATGTGTTAAGGTAACTTCAAAAGATTAACTGGCTTGCATACTGAAGGCCATCACAAGTAACTGAGTAAGTAAAAAGGATGCATGCAGAGAAAGCAGTTTATAAACTTACACAGGTCTTCTTAGCTACTTTGGAGAGAGGCATGTATGTATTGAATAAGCATGGGAAGAGATTAAAGTCAAGAGTAAATAACATGACAAGTATGAGTCCCCTTATTCCCAGCAATATCTTACTAGAATTTTGTTGCCCACTTGCCCTTGATTATCAGAACCGGAGCAATGGGGTCTTTTGAAAGGTCCCAACCTGGATTTGCAGTCCGCAGATGGGCCTCTCAGTTCAGCCACTTCCTGACCAAACATATAACCAGGTTTTTTTTATAGCTTTCAGTTTACGTATTATTAATTTATTATTATCGTGTGTTAACTTAATTTTAGACAAGCTGTTTTAAACATTTCATACCTCTTGAGTGTATTATAAGTTTATGACCAAGTAAAACGTATTATAAGATTGCTTGCGTAAATAATTAATTGTCCACTCAACAAAGGACAAATTAAAATCGTTATCAGAATAGGAAGTAGATGAGAAGAAGGCATACACATACAAATTAACACGAAATGATCACATACACAAACGAATTAGTCAACCATAGTTAAAAGAATCAATTGTTTATATGTGATTGGACAAAATAAATAACAAATCTAACGGCGACCTCCGTCTCCGGTAACCGGATATCCGATACCGTGCCTTCTGGCCGGGAAAACCAAAAACAACAAGCCGCATATAACCCCAACACCCATCGGAACAATATCCAAAACCTTCTTGGTTTCTTGCTCCGGAGCTGGATAAAAACAGCTCACGGCGTTCTTGTCCCTCAGAGCCACCGCACCGAACACAAGAACAGACAAAACGGCGTGGATCCAGTCGATAATCCTTATGCGGTATTTACTAAGATCGGGTAAACCCAAACCATCAGGGTCAGGGTAGTCGAAAATCCACATGCCCTTACGAGTAGCAAAACCGTAATAAACGTTACCGTCTTCAGCCTTGACGCTGTCTGTGAAGGAGCTGAGGAAGCAGGAGATGGAGAGAAGCGTTAGGAGCCCAGCGGTTAAAACACGGGTCGGATAATCGCATGAACCATTGGATGTAAAGACGGGTATGAGGAGCGTGAAAGCTAAGAGCGTTCCGGTTGGAAGGAGATTTGCCAAGTTTGCAGCTGAGGTTAGCGTCTGTGACATGGCGGCATGTTGAGATGTCTGCCTCCTTAGCTGTGGAACAGACTCCGATTGCTCTTGCGAACTAGTTGGGTTTCTCTGCGTTAGGGAAGATGATGAAGACATTCTTTCGTTTTTTTCTTTCTCTGTTTCGTTTTCTTATTTGTTTGGAGAATTAATGGATGATTATGATCATATTATATACCAACTATAACGTGCTTGAACATGGTGGTTGACGTGATCAATGTTATGAGAAGTCAAAGAGGCGAGAGGGCGGGTCTCTTTTGATACATTCTTATTCTAAGCCTCCCTTAAGACTTTCAAACATGTTTCAAAGTTGATTATTACTCTCTTTCTTACTTGTTCCTCGGCTCCAACTTTCTCTTAGACTATACAATACTTTTCCCACTTTGTTCCAAAAGAAAAATAATAATAAACCTAATTCCACTTTGCTATCACTCATGTAGATAAACAAAAAAAAGAAAAAAAATCTTTAAAATCTATTTGCATGTTTTGTTAAATTTGCACTCTTTCAAAATTTGGTGGGAACTAAAAAAATTAACCTAATTCCACTAGAGAAGAATATGTATCCTTTTATTTATCTCACTCCGCTTGCTAAAACCCTAGAGATTGATATTTTCAGACAAAGAATGGATTCAGACACTGAGATTCAGATTTTATCTCTAATGGAGTCGGCCTCCTCCGACGCCGGAGAAGTTTTATCCTCCCTCTCAGGGTACCTCCGACCGTTCTCAGACCTACATACATGCCGGGAAGAGGACAGAGCCCTGGCCGTTGGATCCATCACGAAGCACTTCATCCCCTTCATCATCAAATCCGTCTGTTTCCTACATAAACGCCTCTCAGTCGTCACCCACGAATCCCCTAGGGATTTGTTCCGCGCGTATGATTTCTGTTTGGAATGCTGCGAATTGGTCTCCTACGATCCTCTTGCCGTCCAGCTTCAGAGAATCGGGCTGATTCACTGTTACCAGACCTGGGGTTGGTTCACTCACGCCTACAACGATGGTTTTAGAGTCCTTGACCACCTTAAAGGACCCGCCTACGACGATGGTTTTAGATTCCTTGAGCAGCTTAGAGGACCCGAGTCCAAAGGTGTACCGTTTTTACCAGATCCCAAATTTGGAGGAGCTAAACTGGCAAGAATCCACCTCATGGTTGTGGCGTCCATCGTCAGGTCTGTAGCAATGTCGCGGGATATGGACGATCTCCACTACTTGAGGGGCACTTCGCTTCTACATGGGCTAAAACCCTGGCTCAGGTAAATAAAACCGTGACAGTTATGCTTCCCTTGCTGTACAAGTCAACAAGTTTCACTTGTTTTTTTCTAGGTATTTGGATGCCAATGAACACCAAAAGTTTCTCAAGCTGCTCTTGTCAGATATGGGAGAGTGTGCTCTCTCGGTAATTAGAGAAGCAGAGCGTTTCAATGAGTCTTTTGTGCATTCTTTCTGCATCTCTACACTGGAGAAATATTCTGTTTCCCCGTTGCCAAAATGTCATTTATATAAGGTGACTTGTCCAATTTTACATCTCCATGTGTGTGTGTGTGTCTCTCTCTCTCTCTCCCGCTTTAATTGTTCTGTTTTGTATCCAGTTCTCTCGCGAGGTACTTTCTTTACTGTTTCTGTCCAAGGAGGCAAAAACATCATTAACCGTTGGACTTGTGATGTCTGTGTTGAGAACTGTGGCATGTGAAAACCAGGTATGTGCACAAGTCTCATGTCCAGATTATTATGTTTCTTGTGACACTGACTGCTCTGCTATGTTGAAACCCTCACACCCCACTTCTCATTCTTTCTTAGGTTGAACCTAAAGAAAATTGGTCGGAGCTTCTTGACTTAGTCACCTATTGTGCTCATAATTCTCAGTTAACAGGAGATGTAGTATGGTGTGCAGGAGTTGCGAAACAGTTGAGTGAGATAGCAGCTGTTTTCTCTGAGGTATCTTCTTTTTGCCTCCGTAACATGAACTTCTGTCTCATACTGGTTATAGGATATATTGATAGCTCGACTTCTTGGCAGGCTATACCACAAGCTAAAGTGATTCTAAGAATTTATTCAGCTGGACTGTCCGTCAGTGTAGTTGATCTTAAGTTGAGAGAAAATGGTAAAGAAAGTTTAGGACTTCGAGCTTTACTTGGTGACAAAGATATATGGAAAAGCTTATTTTCTTTATTTGGTATGACTAACGAATACGCTGGTGAGAAGACCACATCTAGTGGTAGAAAGAAGAATACTAAAGTCCAAACTGAACACAAAGCCGCGATTGAATACACGCTACCTAACCTTGATGCTCTGAAATTTTTGTGCCAACCGCTTGCCAGCTTGATAAATTTTGAGTGCAAAAAGATGCTGCCGGAAAGAGAATTTGCTTGTTATACTGGTCATCTATCTGTTATACAGGATATGTTTCTCCAATTTTCCTATGGTTTTCGCTTCCTTCAGAGGTACATATGTTTTCCTCTAGTGTAGGTCTAAGAAATATCGAATGAACTCTGTCCTCAAATACGGTTCGGATCGGGTAATATCCGATGTTTAGTAGGCTGGATATATTTTATTAATAACATGAAAATATATAATTATTTGGTAGAATCATGTATTCTGAGTTGAATGTTTTGCTAACCTTTCATTTCCCTTTTGCAAGATGGACCCCTGACAAGGAACGCCTTGGGACTGACTTTCACAAGACTCTGCTAAACGTGGCTATGGCTGCTTTTATTATTTCCATGAGAACCCAACGTAAAGTAGAGGTCAAACGCTTACTTGCAATTCTCACAAATCAGTGGAAGTTTTGTTCAGACTCTTGTTTTTGCAAACTAATTGCCTCAAGGTTTCCTTTTTTCAGATCACTAACCGTCTAGTTGAGGATGTAATTGCTAGTCCGTGGATTTCACCTCCAGAGCTCAAATATCTATCTGCTTCATTTCACGATATCGGTGTAGATTTCTACAAGATTAAGCACCTAAAAATGGTAGAGCATATCTTAGTGCTAAAAGTTTTTGTTGGGGCCTGTCTTTTGAACTTTAATTCTTTTTGCCTTGCATAATAATCCTTCCATGTGCAGATTGTCTTTAGAAGATATTGCAGCCTTGTTTTTTTTTTTCTTATCACGCATTGATGGTGTACTTGGCAGGCTTCCATGGCGTTCAAGATATGTATCAGAACAGTGTGGACTTGTGTTAGACTCCTCTGTCAGATATATGTAAATAAGTCTGACCTATCTGAGGATTGTCTTCCCGAAGAAGCAATTGTTGATTTCGTGAGTGAAGCATGTAGCAAATCTGCATTTTATCTGGATGTTCTCCAGCAACATGGTGCACGAGAAATCGACAAGTTGCTTGTGTTTATTCTAGAAAATTGGTCTGCAGCTGAAGACCTCATCAAAAAGTTGTCAGACCCTACGCCGATAATAAAACAATGGGTTAAGGTACCTGTTTTGGTTCTCTCCATATCTTAAACTAATAAGTATCTGCTTTTGAATGCTTCTGATTGCATCTTATCATCAGATACAACGCATACATCATGAGACTCAGGACCTGGCTGGCTCTTGTACACCTTTAGACTCCTTTCTATCATCCCTCAGAAAAGTTCGGAAAACTAGAAAAGTTTTAGAGTAGGATCTTTAAATTGGTGCTTATGTAGGCGTAAGAAGTGACATGTACTATGCATTCTAAGTTTACACCAGAGAGAGAGAGAGAGAGAGAGAGAGAGTTGGAACGTTAAATGCAGCGATGCTTACACTATGTTACGCCGGTGTGTTACTGTGCCCCGACTGCTATCACAAACAAGAAGAAAAAGAAGTGCAGCAAAATATACTCAGGAAGCTGAATCAAATCCATTCTTCAGAAATTTTAATGTTTTTTTTTAAATAGATATCATATCATAGGAGGCTCGGTTGTTTAAGTAATATAATGAGAATGAAACCTGAGGAAACATTTGTCGATCCTACAATTTTTTATTCTTTCATTAGCACACAAGGAATTCAGTAGTTTGAATCTTTAAAGCATGTTGGGAATTCTAAAAATTTATTTTTATCTTGTGTGTGGTCAACTTACTTTTATTAACCTTAGGAAGTAGTGTTAAACGATATTACAGTGCTACGTACTGAGTTATATTAGTCTAGCAGATTTAGCTAGTACATGAGCTGGTACATAAGCTTTTCTTGGGATGTGAACAAAGGTGTAGGTATGATCTACCTCTACCATCTTGATGTCCCTGATATAAGTGGCATACTGTGAATATATATCACAGCAGAATCACTAACTCCTTGATATTCAAGTCTTGTGATTTTGTGCTAAGGCCATCCTATTCCTAAGTGCCTCTGCTTCAGCTTCAGCAGACGTCTTCATGGCGTTCACAGTAGATCTTCCTCTGACAATCTCACGAGTTTCTTTGTAGCATTCACAGCTGAAGCATCTCTTTAACGCATGTAATCTATGTAGAGATTTCTCCTTGTTTCTGCCCATACTCTGTTTTAATTTGGATATCTTGGTTATTTTGTAAAGATATACCACTTCATTCCAAACATTGAGGTCCACGATTCCCTTTTGTTAATGAGATCAGGGATATTCTATTGTTGAAGATGAGATCATTCTATGGTTTCCAAATTCTCCATCCTAAAAATGACTGTGCCAAAGATGTGGGGAACTAATAACCAGAGAGAGATTGGGGCAGGATTTTTAGGTGAATGTCATGCGCATCATTCTCCTTGGATAAAACCTGAGCTCCAGCAAATTAGACTTGGTATAATTATTCCTGGAGTGTTAACACATTTTGAATGTAAAAGCTATCATCTTAAAAAAAAAAAAAAAAACTCGATTTACTTCATCTTGAATGTTATCCCAAGACAAGTGAAATATGACAAGTTTTTTTTATTGCTTTTAGGTTCAATTACTGCTATACATTCATGCTTACCCATTATCCCCTAACAAACTCTCATGCTAAAACCAATAAAAAAAAAAATACATTTTCCCCTCTCATCACAATATATGTATGTAAATCATTATGTCATATAAACTGTATGTAAAGGACATAAGAGAAGTATGCCAGCTCATAAGCCTTCTTTATGACCATCTGACTCAGACATTTGCTAAGCGTGTCAACTCTCCAAGGGCATCCAATTATCTGTACTTTAGTAACATCATCCTCCATTACATGCTTTACAAACCCAATCTACAACAACGAAAACACATATATAAGTTAAATCAGTATACTCACTCCTTGATTTTGGCAAAATAGGTACTTACTCGTCAGGATGCTGGATTCTGTCATTTGGACCTCTTGGTCTTGCCTTTATTCTAATATCACCATAGTCTTCTCCTTCTTCTGGGGGATCTTGGCGCATCTGAAGCAGTGTTGTATAGCCTTCCTTTTTGGCACCATCTTCTAATTGCGATAAGACTGAACAAAAAAAGGAAAGGTAGCATAAGATGGTTATCTACAAGAGTGCACTGATTGTCCATGAGACTAATAACAGAATGTTAGTTTCAGTTAAAAATCCGTATAAGGGTTTTTTCATTACCTAGATACTGTGTGAATAACCAAAATGATTCTTTCCTATCTAAGGAGAGTTCCATACTCAGCTTTTTGAATGATGCCCATTGCGATTCCTCTGCTTCCTCATCATTATTTGGGGAGGGACTTCCTCCACCAGAATCATCTCTGTTTGTGACAACAGTAGGGATGTTTTCTGCCGGATGTCTGACGTTTCCAAGAAGATATGTATCTCCCTCTTCTCTTCCATCTCCTAAGCTATCATCTCTCATTATGTTTCCAGGCGATACCTCATTATGTGGGGAAGAACTTTCAATATCAATTGTCTCTCCTCCCTCCACTCCTCGTCCTCCACCATAATTTTCTGCAGGATGTCTCTCCTCCCTCCACTCCTCGTCCTCCACTCCTCGTCCTCCACCATAATTTTCTTCTCTTCCATCTCCTAAGCTATCATCTCTCATTATGTTTCCAGGCGATACCTCATTATGTGGGGAAGAACTTTCAATATCAATTGTCTCTCCTCCCTCCACTCCTCGTCCTCCACCATAATTTTCTGCAGGATGTCTGAGGTTTCCACGAAGATATGCAGCTTCCTCTTCCCTTCCATCTCCTAAGCTATCATCTCTCATTCTGTCCCCAGGGGACCTTGAGGAGCTTCCAACCTCAAAACCTCCTCTGTCACTGCAATGTCTCTCAGGCTGGTTTTGGTCAGGCTGGTTTTGGTCTTCTGGCTGGTCTAGTGGAAATTTAGCGGCTAGGTTTAGTCCAGAAGGAAAGAACTCACGAAACATAAACTCGAAATCATTATAACTTTTAGGCCGGCACTGGGATTTGGGAAGTGGCTGCCTTGTTTTGGGTATCCACCATTTCATGGGGTATTTGGGATTATCGGGATTTTTGGAATAGACATATTTAGGCCATTTATTATCAATAATCTTCCATCGAGGGACTCTCCTAGGATTAGGTTGGAGTGGATGTGCTGGAACTGGATGTGCTGGAACTGGCTGTGCTGGAACTGGCTGTGCTGGAACTGGCTGTGCTGGAACTGGATGTGCTGGAACTGGCTGTGCTGGAACTGGATGTGCTGGAACTGGCTGTGCTGGAACTGGCTGTGCTGGAACTGGCTGTGCTGGAACTAGATGTGTTGGAACTGGCTGTGCTGGAACTGGCTGTGCTGGAACTGGCTGTATGAGGTTTTCAAGAACAGGAAAATTTGTAGCTTCCTCTTCTCTTCCATCTCTGGTTCTATCTGTGACCGTTTCAGGGAAGTTTTCTACCGAATGTGGGAGGTTTCCAGGAACACCTGTAGCTTCCTCTTCCCTTCCCTCTCCTACAATATCAACTCTGGTTCTGTCTATCAGATCTGTGGTCGGGAGGTTTCCAAGCAAATCTGAAACTTCTCCTCTTCCACTATCATCTCCCGATTCAGGACCATCACTACCAGTACAAGGAGCATTGTTTTCATCAGAAAACAACAAAACTTCTTCCGAGTTTAATTGTTCATCACTCTCTGGTATATATGGGGGACTTGAGGAGATTCCAACCTCAAAACCTCCTCTGTCACTGCAATGTCTCTCAGGCTGGTTTTGGTCTTCTGGTCTGGCTAGTGTGGTGGCTGGGTTTAGAGTAGAACGAGAGATGGAAGGCAACTCCAAACCTAATCTAGACATGGGTACCGGAAGTTTCTGCCGTTTCGTGGGAGGGCGGTAACTTAAGTCTTTGTCAATTCTCTTCCTTGTACGAGAGACTTGCCTAGGATTTGGTAGGGGATGATATTCTCCTCTTTCAATATCCAATCTCTCTTCTCCCTCCACTCGTCCTCCTCCACCAGAATCATCTCTGTTTGTGACAACACTGAGGTTTGTAGGAAAATATGTAGCTTCCTCTGCCCTTCCCTCTCCTACAATATCAACTCTGGTTCTGTCTATCAGATCTGTGGTCGGGAGGTTTCCAAGCAAATCTGAAACTTCTCCTCGTCCACTATCATCTCCAGAGTTTAATTGCTCATCATTCTCTGGAATGTGTTGGGGACTTGAGGAGCTTCCAACCTCACAACCTCCTCTGTCACTGCAATGTCTCTCATGTGTGGATATGTCAGCTGAAAGAAGCAAAAAGCAAGTATGAGAAGTGAACAAATTGGGAAAAGAAAGAAAGAGACCGAAAGCAAATAGGTTTGCTGGTGAATGTTGGACATTCATTGCCCCACCTAGCAAATCCGTGACACTCTCTTCCTCACGGAGGAGCAAATTCCTTTGGTGTTGAGAAGCCAATGCTACACCAACTGAATTGAAAAACCAAAGTTAATTACACAATACGAAATATCCTTTTTTTGTGTGCACCAAGAAAGATAACTACAATCGAATTCTTACTTATAAGTTTGGCCATGAGTGACATGTCAGCTAGTTCTTGGGACTGTGGTAGTCTCCCAAACCATTCTTGGATGTCGTGACTGAGAGAAAACAAGAAAAACAAAAAAACAAGACAACTTAGAACTAATCATCAACGATTTGTCATCTGAAGCAATGGCAATTCCATCTTATCTTCGTTCTCTGGCAATTTCTTTCAGGCGTTGTTTTGTCTTAAGGAACAAAACCTAATCTTGAGCACTCTATTGTTCTAAAACAATAAGGCCTTAGGTCCATAAAGGCCCATTCAACTGGTTCTCAAAAGAAAATGTTTAAAAATATATGGAAATAGCACTTGATCAAATAGAAAAGGCGAGAAAATTCACCGTGTCTGTGAGACATTGGCCGTTCGGTTTGTGTCCTCTCTGAGCACGCCATAAGAAGCAAACAGCCTAAAGAAGAGGAAAAAAATCAAACACCCAAAGAGAAAACGAAAGGTACTAGAAATAACCATCGATTAGAAGCAAAACCAGGAAATATCAACAAATTATGCAAAGCATTAAGAGAAACAGAGCAATCAAAACACAATTCACCATCTCTTCGAAGAGAAGGAAAAAAATCAAACGCAAGATAAATTTAGACTCGTGCATCACCATGGATTAGAAGAAACAAAGAAAAATGACCAAATTATGCAAAGCATTAAGAGATTCAGAGCAAACACAGTAGAATTTACCATCGCTACGAAAAGTAGAAGAAATCCAGAGAAATTGACCTATTACGCATCGCATTAAGAGAAGAAATCACGATCGTTTAGTACAGAGAGGGAAAAAACAAGTCGTTAGAGAAATCACCATATCATCAACAAGAGAGCTTCGTAGCCTTTGAGTTGATGTGGAAGTGGAAATTTCGCCATTGTTTTACTAAGGAAATGATCGTAAACAGATCGTGATCCGAATTTGGTGTGCTTGTTTCTTCCTTCTTTCTAAAAACGTCGGTGATTTTTCTCAGAGTCGATGACGCGAAGAAGATGAAAAAAAATCCAGTTGATTTGTGAAACTGTGAGTTTTCAACGGAAAATGAGTGTAGAGCAATTTATTGCAGAGTGTCTGTGACAAAGCTAATGTCACCGGTATCAGTGACGCTATTGGCTCTCTCCATTCTGTTATAATTCGCTCGAATCTGGAGATTTGTCTCAGAGTTGATGGCGCAAATAAGATGAAGAAAACTTCGTTTATTCGTAGAGCAATTTATTGCAAAGAGTGTCTGTGACAAAGCTAATGTCACCAGCACAGTGACGCTATCGGCTCTCTCCATTCTGTTACGATTAGCTCAAATCTGGAGATTTATCTCAGAGTCGATGGCGCGAAGAAGATGAAGAAAACTCCATTGATTTGTGAAACGGTGAGTTTCAACGAAAAATGACTGTAGAGCAATTTATTACAAAAAAGTGTCCGTGACAAAGCTAGTGTCACCGGCACTGTGACGCTATCGTCTCTCTCCATTCTGTTACAATTCGCTCGAATCTGGAGATCTCAAGTGGGGTCATAGCCAAAACAAGTTCAAATTTGATTTGGTAGCGCCATTTAAATTTTAGTTATATTGTTTATTTATTTTTTTGTCATTATTTTATATTTTCCACTATGATCTATTTGCGTATGAAAACAAAATCTAAAACAATACACAAACAAAATTTATCAAATTAATAAAAAACAATTATCAAATTAATCAAAAAATCATTAAAAGCAAATGAAAACATAGAAATACTTACTTAATTACTTTTATTGTTGTCACTTGTCAACAACATCTTTATTTTGTAACTTATTAATTCAACACATTTAAACAAGACTAAAAAAGAAAGAGATCTTAATCAGAAGGCAAGCGAATATGGTGCTAAATATTTATTTACATCCTGATAAAGTGATTAGTAATATTATTTCAGCTTGTTACATTTGTATATCTTATATAACTATACTAACGAGTTTTTGAGTTCTCTGGAGATCGCGATGCAGCAAGAATAGGGTAAAATCGATGTGTATACGAGTCATTAGATGAATGGAAAAAACCCGAAAAAAACCATCATTTATTTTTATTTTGGTCGTTTAATACGTGTAGTTTTAAAATAGGAAAAAACACATTTCATTTATTTAATATTATTTTTTAAAATATTCATGTAAAAACGGTTGGTGGATTCCTACTTACGAGTTAACAGCCGTTAACATGGGTGACGGAATAAATTCGACGGTGGTAAACTTCAATCCAACGTGTTTGAATATATATATATATATATATATATATATATATATATATATATATATAATCTGTTTACAATGGTTAATAATTATATTAATGTAGTCTGCTGGTAACGTAATTGTATTGTTACCCTGGGTTTAAATCCTGAGAAGCCCATTTTTAGTTTTTTTTTTTCTCTCTTCCCGTCACAGGTTCCCTAGCCGCCTCAGCCTTCTCTCTACCTCTTCCTCATGCTTCTTCGCCGCCTTAGATTTAGGACCTTCCGCTATGATTATTTGATCTCGATTGTATTAGATGAGAATTGAATTGAATTTGTTAGGGATATGATTTCTCTCTCTACCTCTTCCTCCTGCTTCTTCGCCGCCTTAAATTTAGGACCCTCCGCTATGACTATTTGATCTCCATTGTATTAAATGAGAATTGAATTGAAATCGTTAGGGATATGATTTTTTTTTTTTTGACATCTTTGGATCGACAAGGCCCGATCCATAGCCAATCCCTACTACGCGGGGTAACGCGACTTAGTGGAGTCGAACTCCGGTGGAGAAGGCGGATTCAAGTGGACTTAACCACTTGACTAAAGGCACATCCTCAGGGATATGATTTCTTTAACTGCAACTTTTTATGAAATGAGAATGAGAGTTGCGGTGGTCCTTGCACTGGTCCAAGCCTGCGAATCAAGGAGAACGCCGTCAGGGAACTTATGATTCTGGCGAGATGCGGAGGAGACGAAGCGGCGACGACGGTTGCTTTTGGTGCAATCTGTGGAAGCTCGTTAATGGCAGCGAAGAAGATAATCGAATATTCGAATGACAGCGAAAAAGATAATCGGTTCGAATTTTTGGTTTGATCCGGTTAACAGAGAACCGAGCATGAAAATGGAAAAAAGAACAAAAAAAGCAGAGTGTGTGAAGAATCGAACCCACGTTCTACGGGTAAATAACATAATTTCGTTACCACCAGACCGCATTAGTATAACTACAAAATATTTTAAACATATCTATATCTACTAAATCAACAGTCAGTTTTTTAATAACTGCAACATTCTCTTTTTGACACGTTAGCAAACACACAATTTTTTGAGTTTTGACGAGCAACTTCATAAAAATAAATATTGTTTCTAAATAATTACCCACTTTCCTCACGATCTTCTGTCCATATGCAACTGATTCTTCTTTTAATTGATAAACTAATTATACGATTCAATCTTCTTTCCTAATTACGTTTCTCAAATTCTTTATTTCTGGCTCAATTAGCTTCTCTTTCACGAGCTTTATGCAATGTTAGAAATACCATTCTTCTTCCATTATTTTTGTCCACTTTCCATTCTCGAATCAGAACTCGTCATCAATCTCCCTTCTCATTTGAGATCAATGGTCATGAGTGGTGAAGAGAACAAGAATAGGACGATTACATGAAGAGAACTAGCGTGATTGGATATTCCGAGATGGATCAAGACCATAACCAATAACTTATTAGTATGCTCACACAAATTTTCATCTACCATAAATAATTTGATTGCTTCGTAATAACGATATAATTTATTTGTTTTTTAACACTAATGCATATGTTTGGTATTCTCTAAATATTTTAATATATGCTGTAAATTAACATTTAATTTATCTATGCATAGCAGGGGGCATAGTTCTAGTTGTATATATAAATTTAGACACGCTGGATGAAGTTTTAACACTATAAAATTTTGTAAACATATTGTATATATAAATGTAGGGGTGAATTAGCTCAATAACCAATTTTGTATGCAAAATTAAATTTATACTCATCTAATATCTATATTTCAACAAGTAACCATGTTAATTAAATTTGGACCAAATTACCCCTGTATTTATGTTTGCAAAACTGAAAACTTTTTTTTTTTTTTTTTTTTGGTAAACAGAAAACTTGGAGAAGCGAGTGAACATCAGAGAGAAGGAAGGTCGGTGATCGGACTAAATAGAAACGAAGATCCACGTACCGACGGATATCGAGGGAGAGATAACATTGGAATTTGGAGGGGGAAGAAAAAAGTAAAGATCCACCACCACCAGTGAGAGAGATGTAAAGACGAGATCCTTCCATAATAAGGAAGAGATTCGCCGGTGGTTGTAACGAAGATCCAGTGATTGCGACGGAGATCCGGTGGTGGTTGGGACGAGACCCGATGGCGGTGGTGACTAAGATCCTTTCACAGAGCACAAGGGCAAAATAGTCTACTATACAATAAATATATATCATATTCTACCCAAAGTTTTTTTATGGTTACTTCTTAAATTATTAAATTTTTGATGGTCATCCAATGTAATTTCTCTAAATTTAGACACGTCGGAAGAAGTTTTCACACCGTCAAATGATTCTGTCAGCGATGTTAACGGCTGTTAATTCGTGAGTAAGAATCCACCAACCGTTTATAACATGAATATTTTAATAGACAATATTAAATAAACGAAGTATTTTTTTCTAATTTTAAAACTATACGTATTAAACGGCCAAAATAAAAAATAGATGGCGATTTTTTTCGAGTTTTTTTTTCCTTAGATGAATTGGATTATTTTCTTTAATTTCAGCTTCTTAACATAAGCTTCTCTTTATTGAAAAATAACACATAGTTAACTTGGTATTCTTTTCTAATAATTAGAGATATAAGTTTCATTATGATCTCTTATAAGTGATAGCTTTTTAAACAGGAAAACTTTGTTCTAAAAAATTTATGAAATCTAGTTGATGATCTAATTTATAGATTAACAAATTTCTTCTTAGTTTTTTTTTTTTTTTTGCTATCTACAAATGCTTAGTACCAATACTTGTCAATGTCACTATTCAAACCCTAAATTAGATATCCACTATCCCAACTCCTTGTGTATCTAAGTTTTAAAGTGACATATTAGCTATGCTTTGCGTAGTTTGCTTCTCCAGGCGAACAAAAATCTCTGGTCCAAAGATAGGAAATGTACAAGACATGCATTTCCAATCACATTCACACACCATTAACATTACAAATTTCAAAGGCTTAAGAATGTACACAGACACAAACATACCACCTACAGCCGTGCCTAGGTATTTAGAGATCGGAGACATGCTTTGCGTAGTTTGCTTCTCTAGGCGAACAAAAATCTCTGGTCCAAAGATAGGAAATGTACAAGACATGTATTTCCAATCACATCCACACACCATTAACATTACAAATGACAAAGGCTTAAGAATGTACACACATGCACAAACATATCAGAGCTGTGCCTAGGTATTTAGAGACCGGAGGCGGTATGTCATTAGAAAAAAAATTATGATAAAATGTCAAATATTTTTTTTTTAATATGGTATTATCATATAAAAGTTGTAGAGTATATTACTTCATATAAACTATAGTTCATCCAAATTTTATTAGTTTATACAAACTACAAATATTTTTTTCAATTTATGGTTGCAAATGGTTGACACAAAATATTAGGTTGAAGAGTTTATTCAACTAAATTTTCACCATTTGAGATGAAAGTGTTGAAAAAAAAAAGATTCAGCCCATTCAACTTAAAAAAAAAACTGAAAAATTGAACAAATTCTACATAAAAAATGTTCAACTTATCAACTACATTTTTGCATATGAACGGACTGAACGATTTCTAACTCAATATTTTTCAACTTAATATATTCAACCCATTTAACTTGAAAGAGCCATTTGTAGCCCTAGGAAACTCTAGTGAAAGAGTACTAATAATAGTTTGATACCATCTTAAAACAAATTTTTAAAAAATTTAAGTCCATGAGAAGCAATAAATATATTTGAAATAATCATATATATATATCACAAACACCACAATGCTTTATGAATAGAATTATAATGAAAATTATATTCATCAATTTACTATATGCTCATCATATAAAAGAAAAAATCATACTTCATCAAGTACAAAGAAGAAAAGTTAAATCACAAATATAAATAAAATAGATGGTTATGATATCAAGCGATCATGAATCATCCTAATATTTCAATCTGATGTACATCACGTTTCCTACTTAACACACAATTACTATACATACATTATAGGATTGGTCGCTTGAATGATTTTATTACATAAAAGTGGGCCGTAGGCGAAGATGTCTATTTCACCAACATAGGCACGGCGCTACCACCCATCCTATTTTATGTCACCCTCTTTAACCCTTTGAGCCACACAACCACCATTACCACTTAACCTTCATAGGGTTCCTCACTCACTTCATCTCCCAATATTGGAGTAAATAGAGAATACTTCACCTTCAATGATATTTTGCCTTTCTCCACCAGTAATCTTGCACCTGATACAACCCAATACCCGGGTGATTCTTGCGGTCCTCTTGTCATCTCACTTGTATCCACAAATTTCAAAAGTTTGGGAGCTTGTGTGGGTACTGGTGGTCCACCAGGATAGATGGCCGAATTTATATTCACATCTGCAGGTCGTGGTGGTGGTTTCTGTGCTGCAGTGAAGTGATGGCTTATTAGCGTTGAGATGAGTCCTGATTTTGGAGCAAAGCCTACCGCTTCATCCCATTCAGAATTCTTTACAAGTGTTGCTCCCACAACTCTAGAGAAACAAAGGTGCAAGAAGAGCACGTTCTTGAATCCATGGCTTTCTACATGAAGCTGCGCACCTGTTACTACAGAAAGATCATCATCTGATTCGACGGGTTCTGTGCAGACGTGAGAGTAGTTCTTCCAGTTTACTTTCTCATAGTATCGACGATCATGCGCCTCTTGCCGGACACTTTTATTTAGATCGTCTTCGAGCAGATATATCTTGGGAAGAGAGGAAAGGTGTTGCAAATGAATTGCCAAACGGTTGCTTCTTCTACCCTCTAGGTAGAGCCGCATGCCAGTGATTGGCCTCTTACCAACATCAACCTGAAACCATATAAACGAGAACAAGTATCTCAGGGCTTGAGGACTTAAAAAAAATCTAATCGCACTGCCTGCAGAATCATCCATGCAGGGTTAATGAGATCGGACTTGACTAAGAAATAAACCCGCAACCTGCATCAGCAAGCTATATATTTAGGGATGAAACAAACTCATACCGGAGTGGTATTCACATATAGCTTAGGTCCGAAGAAACTGAATTGCAGAGACGCACAACTTTGTTGCTTCCGTTGCGGACCAAGAGGAAGTTCACTAAACACGGGTGCCCACTGCCTTGGTAGCTGAAACTCTAGAAACTGATGTAGCTCTTCAATCGGTGGCTTATCTACAAATACAAATATCAATTAATGTTGGTCTGTTAACCCCAGTTTTTTCGTTTATAGTATGTTTCATTTTATGCAAAACATACAACAAATGGCAAGTAATGCTCCTATTTATCAACCTATCTACCCAGCTGGACTTGGAGATTACACAACATTTGGGATTATACTGTTCTTACCTATATCAAACTTCTAGTCCAAAGGTAAAAGAAACCTCTACTATGAAGAATAATTCCATAAAGAAATGCACATTAGCGCAAATGATTTGTAGGCTTACATCTTAGATACAGATTTATGGCATGGCTTAAGAATCCACTTCCTGGAACTCCATTGAGCAAAGACGTAATTGGAATAAAGGACATTGAGATAACATCAGGCTCCATCTGAACTGTTTGCAGCCATTCATTATGCATTAGATTTCTATTGTCGTTTCCACCTCGCCTTTTGCACATGAAGACAATGTCCTACAAAAACATGCAAATTCATGAGAAAAGAAGCTAACACACACGATAACATGTCTTTATGATCAGTTACGGTACCAATAGAAATTACCTCCTTATTTGCATAAGAGCCCAACGAACTGGTTTCTGCAAATCTCAGTCGTTGCTCCTTTGTTTCCACCTGAAACAAGGGATGAAAGACAGGAATTACAGACTTGAGAGTTGAAACACTAGATTTTTAGTAGTAATTCTTTTATATGTCAAAACGCCACAACATATCTGACATGCACAAATAAGAAAGTTTTGAGTGATGGGGAACAAAAATAATAATAACTGTTTCACAGACCTTACTACTTGCTTGTACTCTTTCTGAAGCCATATTATGCACTGCGCTAGCTTCCACGAACCTCTTATCTGCCACCTCTTTTAACCTTTTCTGCAGATCCTCAGGCTGAAGTTTTGAGGAGTGTTGTTGTTTTGCATAAATCACATCTTTTCCTCCCATTTTAACACTTACAATTATATGCGTCCCATAAATATCTATAAACCTGGTAAAGAAACATTTGACTAAGTGTTAATCATAAACGCTTGCCCTCCAATTAATAAAGAAATGTTACTAACGCAACAATGCCTGCAACAAGTAAGAAGTGATTCTTATAAGTCATACAAAAACAATTTCACCCAATACAAAGAAACTGAGGCAAGGAAATGACTTGCTGAAAGCCTGGAAGAATCTGGACTTATATATATAACTATTGCAGAAAAAACTTCACAAGTTAAAGATTCTTCTCATGTTATTGCGAAACTATCGAACAATTTCACAGAAAAATATGCAGATGTAAGAAACTTCCCATATATACATCCATGAATATTACAATCCAATTATGAAGACAGTAATCACCTTGCCAATGCAGCAGGGTCCCATGTTGATGGAACAGCCTGCTTAACATGCTCACGGAGTAACACTTGAGATTTGTCCAAAGCAACCGTGTATAATGAGATGAATACACCATCAAAAGCAAGGTTTTTGGTGTAGGCTGCATCTTTCTGCCAACAGCTAGAGAATTCAAACATAGCATTGAAGAGACCTGACGGGATTTTACCAGCCAAAGATAGTTCCTGGTTGAACTGCTCTGCCATCTAGAAAACCATAAGAAAAGTAAACAAAATATAAATAACAAAGCATCCAAAATGCTATGTAAAAAATTTACTCTCTAGAGCATTGCAGCGTGAACTGACAAGGAAACTAGCTAAAGGTTTTCATTGTAAGACAAAGAAATATACCTGTTGGAAAGGAAGAATATCGGACCTAAACCGCATACGCTCCCCTTTATCGCATTTAATAGACTTGGAAACATTAGGAATGGAGATTCCACCAGGTAAAACAATCTCACAATTTTCATCACCTTCTTTGATATCAAGTAATCTTGAATCTTTAGAACCTCCTTTGCAATACTTCAACCTTACATCAATAGCTAGATCATAACCGCAGCCAATAGATCCAATCGCAACTTCAGCTGCTTTAGAAGCTGGTAGCCGTAGTGCCATGATTCAGTACAAGACTTACTGTTAGCCAAAACGAAAAACAAAGAAACAGAATTAGAGCCCTAGAATCAACAAGGCACAAAACAATCAAAAGCCACTTTAGATATATTTCTGAGACAAGTTTAAAACTTTCTCCATTTGGTGTCAAATCTGACCAATAAGAAGATATCATCGAAATCATGATTTCTAAATATAGACCAAAAACTGAAGGTCGATGATGATGACCTAGAATCTTGAACAGACGACCAAGTCCAAATGTCTCAAAACAATCAATTCAATAAAAGCGCAAAAGTCAAACAGTAAGACTGCAAAACCTTAAGACTTTGAATGAAGAATAAGAGAAACAAATAAAGTAAAAAAAAAAGAGGAAGTAGGGGCTCAAAGTACGTTTTCAAGCATATGTCTTCAAGAGAATCTTCAACAGAGCTCAAAAACCACGATCTAAACGAATCCTAAATCAACGGACTAGGATTGCAGAGACATGGAGCTGAATCATGGAAAGATTTAGCAGCAAAGGAGGTTGAAGAAGAAGAAGAAGAAAACCCTCAATGGAGGAGCAGTAAATTAGTTTTGTTAATCAAAAAGTGATTAAGAGTAATAATAATAATCTAAGAAGGTAGATGGTAACAGGTGAAAGTGAGTTAAAAAGACTCGAGGAAGAAAAGTCAACTTTCGGTCAAAGAATTGGGAATTGTGTGTGGCCCATTCATCTTCTTCCCACTTTGCTCTTCCTCCGTTGCTTATTTGTTTTATAATTTGACAGCCTGTTGTTACATTATTACATTTGCTTCGCTGGGTTTTTTTTTTTTTCTTTTCTTGTCTAAAAGGGATTTTGGTAGCAACGACAAAATATTTTTCTTGCTCGAAACTAAACTTCTCATATTTCAAAGAGAGATCATCTCTCTACTATGAGACTGAAATGTGACCATTTTAAAGACGGGAACAGGGAAACCTTAACTATTGGCCAGATTTATTTTGGGTTTTTGTTTCTATATGTACCTAAATAGATTTTTAAAACCTTCATTAACAAAAAAAATTAAAAAAAAAAAAAGTAAAAATGAAAACTACGTTTATATGTGGGGGATATTGATTTTACTTTCAATTTTTAATAGATTGTTATGATTTTAATATGTATTTCTATATTACCATAATAGATTTAAGAGTTTTTTCTTTTAGTATTTCAAACTTAAACCCTCAAAATTTTGTTAAAATCCGTTTCTTGTGTGTTTAATATAGCACTTGAGTGAATCGCAACATATTTTAGTCAGAATTTATAATCGCAAAAGTACAAAGTTAATGACCAAAACCATTTTAAGGTTTGAGTAGCTATAATTGCGGGGAATTGCCTCAAGAGCCCCACTTCCTTCCTAGTAGTAGATTTTATGCATTGTCACAAGTACCGTGTAAGAGAAGGCTTGCATATTATTATGTATTAAACATCATCCTCTTGTAACCACACTGCTTCCTCCTAACGACAAATAGATGTTGTTCACAAGCATTGCTTAAATTCATTCGTCTTCTCAAATCCAACCTACAAAATCACGTGTCCCACTACATCCCATGTATGAATTCCAAAGCCGTCCTAGTTTGCTTTCTCATTTGCTGTCTGTGAAGTCAGCATCGATCACATCATCACCATCTGCTCCTTTACTTGAAGATGAATCTGCTGATGAAGCACCTTCGCCTCCCGGGGAAGGACCTGCACCCGGAGCTCCAGCTCCAGGCTGGTTGTATAGAGACTGACCAATCTGCATCACTTCTTGGTTAAGAGCAGCCATGGCGTCTTTGATTTCTTGGGTTGATCCGTTTCCTATCTTGTCTTTCAGCTCTTGTAGCTTAGCCTCCACCTTCTCTTTCACTTCACCTGGAATTTTCTCTCCAAGTTCTTTCAGCTGCTTCTCTGTCTGGTACACCACTGAATCTGCCTGGTTCTTTGTGTCGATTGCATCTCTCTTCTCCTTGTCATCCTTTGCAAATCTTTCTGCTTCCTGGACCATTTGGTCTACCTGTAACATTCATCCACACCAACTTTTGTTACCATGATTATGAATATAATCGAAAATGCACATCCTGTGAAAATGGAGATAGCTACGGCCATTAAGTGATAGTAATAACGAGAATGCTACCAGTTAACATAAGGTAGGACTACCACTTTCACAATCAGTAGAAAATCACTAAACCTCAAAAATGGAACTGACAAAAACAAGTTATTAATGAAGCAACGTGGTTTCATTCCTAAAGTGAACGCACCTCATCCTTGGGCAATGTACTTGCGCCAGTAATGGTGATGTCTTGCTTCTTTCCTGTGCCCTTGTCAACAGCACTGACAGATAGAATTCCATTGGCATCAATGTCAAATTTAACTTCGATTTGTGGAACTCCACGTGGTGCCGGTGGAATACCATCTAGACGGAAGCTACCAAGAGACTTGTTATCCCGAACAAACTCCCTCTCACCCTGCAACACATTAATCTCAACACTTGTCTGCCCATCAGCAGCAGTTGAAAAGACTTCTGATTTAGAAGTAGGTAGTGTAGTGTTCCTTGGAATAATCTTAGTCATAACACCACCAAGGGTCTCCAAACCAATGGAAAGCGGTGTCACATCAAGAAGCACAATGTCGCTCACATCTCCGGCAAGCACACCAGCCTGGAGTCATAAGAGAATGGCACTTGATAAGAACTCATTGCAGTTGCCAGAAGGGTATCAAGGGCATGACACCTCGATTGTTAAAATCAAGAACTAAATAGGGTGAAGTAACAAGTTTCACGAGAACTCACCTGGACTGCAGCACCTAAAGCTACAACCTCATCAGGATTTACTGTGACATTAGGTTCTTTCCCAGTCACCTTCCTCACGAGTTCTTGAACAGCAGGAATACGTGTGGATCCACCAACAAGGATAACTTCATCAATATCTTTGAAGCTGAGCTTTGCATCCCTCAGAGAATTTTCGACGGGAGTCTTGACCCTGTATGATAGATACATGGTAAGAATCTTAAGCCTCCATTATTTAATCAAAAGCTCTAGAATGAACACACAGCAATCTGTTTACTTGTCGGGCTTAAATAACAGCCATAAGAACTGTAACTAAAATTACCTGTCAAGTAAATCTGAACACAATTCTTCGAACTTGGCACGTGTGAGGGTGGTTTCTATGTGTTTAGGTCCATCGGCTGTGGCGGTGATAAATGGCAAGCTAGGCACACAATTAATTACGATCAGAAGCCGCATACTTGTGAAAGTACTAAGTCAAAAATTTGGGGGAGAAAAAGTAAGAGTACCTCATATTTGTCTGAGTCAGCGAGGAGAGCTCAATTTTAGCTTTTTCTGCTGCCTCTGTTAACCTCTGAAGTGCTTGCTTGTCTTTCAGAAGATCTATCCCTTCATCTTTCTTGAATTCTGTAGCAAGCCAATCAACCACTCTCTGCATCGCAAAAGTTGAATCTATCAAGTAAAGCACAGAAGAAAGAGTATACAGATTCAAAAACCTCTTTGCCCAAGGACTTAAAAATTATTGTGAGCAACTCACCTTGTCGAAGTCATCACCACCCAAATGTGTGTCCCCAGAAGTGGAAAGCACTTCAAACACACCATCACCAACCTCAAGCACTGTAAAATAAGAAACATAACAAAATACATATTACATGGTGCTACGACATGTAAAGATTATTCTCAAGAAGATACATAGAGACTTTTAGTAAAAGTTCAATGTCAAGTACCTGAGACATCAAAGGTACCACCACCAAGATCAAAGACTAGGATAGTTTCATTGCTTTTTCTGTCAAACCCATAGGCCAATGAAGCAGCTGTGGGCTCATTGATAATACGAAGAACTTCCAACCCAGCAATTCGACCAGCATCTTTTGTAGCTGTCCTCTGTGAGTCGTTGAAGTAAGCAGGTACAGTAATGACAGCCTTGGTTACTTTGTCATTCAAGAATCTTGAGGCATCATCCACAAGTTTCCTCAAAACCTACAACAGACACCACCAACCCATAATAAATAAGCCATACACAAACAAATGATCAACAACAGTGGAACAACTACAAACACTATCAACTCACAATTAGAGATTCCGGAAAGACAAGACTAAGATGACCAAACTTAAGAAAGAGAGAGTAAAGTTCCAATGTTTAAATACAATCACATATATCAGTAGACATAAGAGACTCGAATTACAGAACCATGAAGAGCAGTGAAATATCCACGTCCAAAATAAGAACCACATTCATCACAGCTACTAAATACACACTTCCTACATCGAAAATACGAGAGAAAGGGATAAACTTCAGTACCTGAGCTGAAATCTCCTCAGCAGCAAATTGTTTGTTAATGGCAGGACACTCAAGCTTAACATTCCCGTTCTCATCTCTAACAACTCTATAAGAAACCTGCTTAGACTCCTCAGCAACCTCATTCATCTTCCTACCAATAAACCTCTTCACGGAGAAGAAAGTATTCTCGGGATTAACAACAGCTTGCCTCTTCGCAATCTGCCCAACAAGCCTATCACCACTCTTCGTGTAAGCCACCACAGAAGGCGTCGTCCTCTGACCTTCAGCGTTAGTCACAATCGTAGGCTTACCTCCTTCCATAGCAGCTACTGCGGAGTTAGTCGTACCCAAATCAATCCCAACAACCTTCTCGTTAACCACACGAACCGGACCAACCGCATATCTAGAAGCGCCGCCGCCATTTCTGGTGCCCATTCTGAGAAAAGCAGAAGTGGGTGTTGAGAAAGGACCGGTTCTTGTACCGAAGAAGGCACTTCTCGGCATAAAGGTACCGCCTTTACCATTAAGGTTTCTCTTGGAAGAAGAAGAAGAAGCGAATCCAATTCCGCCAAGGACGTGAATTTGGGCGGCGGAAGATGCCATTTTTCCGAGATAAGTGATTTTGAGTAAGCAATAGACGAAGACTGAAAGGAGGGTTAACCCTAAGGGAAAGTGGAGAAGAGATATAGAAGGAAGAGAAGATAAGAGGAAGGTGGGAGAGAATATGTGGACCCAGTTGAAGTTTCGAGAAGAGAAGATGAATGGGCTTCACTAGGCCAACAAGTGTTTGTATACTAGAGATATCTCCAGACTTGTGATGAGAAACATCTAGACTTTTCACAAAAGCCCACCATCTCTTAAACTTCTCAAACGCCACGGATCACTTAGCTTGAGATATTTGAGGTACGTTTTAGGTGAACCAAGTGAGAGAAATGACGATGGTATTCGAATGGTCGTCATTATACACTACTAGATGAAACTCTTAATTTCATTTGATCGAAAATCTCATTTACACATTCCATTGAGAGTGTTTAATCCGAGATTGAAGAGAATGTTTAGATAGTCTTGATACATCTTCAGTTCTTCACAAACATGTATTAAAGCTAAACATTTCATTTTTAATGAATATTTACATTCTTAGCTAAAAAAAAACATGTATTAAAGCTATAAGTTGTAAAATAGATAAGAGAGAAAATTCGCTCAAAAACAAACCAAAAGGAGATATAGCAAAGGAAAGAGAGAATCATGTTCGATCCATGACCATGGTAATGATGGAATTTCATGTGCGGTGGAGACTGCCTCGACATTGTTGTCACAAATTTATCTTCATCTTTTTTTGTTTTTTTGTCACAAAATTATCTTATTATCATGGGTTTTATTATATACCTCAAAGTTTTCTTACACATAAGAATTGAGTTGAAACATGTACCAAAGAGTTACCACTGGTCTATCAGGCTCTAGAAAAGTTTGTTAAACTTATATTTTTACCATCAATTCACTAGTGAAATCACATCTTTTTTTTACTAAAATGTTTTTGGACCTTAAGTTGACTTTGGTGGCATAGAAAGCATTGACCTTTTGACCAATTAATTCGTTATAATGTCTAATCTTATATACAAATCTGCTTTATCTATATAAAATGTGATTACTCCAAAATAGTTTAGAGAGTTGATGAAAACAATATAAAAATTGGAACTCCATGTGGAAGTGCATTGGCCTGGAGGCTGGACGATTCTCGAGTTTTTCACAAAAGGACAATCTTGGAGTCAAGGATCCTCTTCATCCTCCAAATAAATTAATATTTAGTATGATATAATTTGTTATTTATTATCTTTACACATTTGTTTTTCTTTGTTATCTTTAGACGGATTCAGACTTACAGACCACAATGGGTCTACTATAGTAATAAGAGCAAGTAGTTTGTGATTTTCGTAAAAGCACTGATCCAACATTCAAAGCAATCGATAAAATTATAAGGAAAAAATTATTGTATTAAACGTTTCATGAAAAAGATGGACTCTAATCGAAAATAACAATGAGATCTATTATATGATAGATATGGATGTAGAGGAAAACAAAAACTGGTTTCACGAGATCCCAAAAAAACGCTTACAAGCCTTTACGAATGCTATTTTCTTGAAGTTGTTGCTCTTCTTCTTCTTGTGCACCTTCTCTTTATCATCATCTTCGACGTCTTCATCTCCTTCATGGAAAGGAAGAGGCCACGTCGTGGCAGAGCTCTGGTCATAGATTCTACAGTAGCGTTCAGAGACAGACGAGGATCTTCTCATAGACATCTTCACTGGTGAAGGAACCGCTTGTGCTGATGCAGACACTGACCTGTTCCTGCTTAGCTTCGGTTTCATTTCAACAGGTTCAAGATCAGGCTTCTGAGTCTGAGGATCGACAGGGTGGTCCGGCTCAAGTTTCTGGTCTGTTGAATCCATTTTGGAATAGCCACTCATGTTTTGTTCTCTATTTCTTCTTCTTCAGTGTTTTGATAATGAATGGTACTCTAAGCTATAGTAATGTGCCATATATATATAAATGTGTCGAGAGGTTCACGAATCGAGTAATTTTTATTACAATGAGATCCGCACAATATTACAGCTGGTGGGGATTGCAATTTAACGTTTTTGACATTGGGCATGTGCACTTGTCTGGCAAATGTTTGGCATTACATATAGCATCCATACTTTTCTGTATCAAAAAATATGTTAAAATAGTTAATTGGAGACAAAAACGTCAAACGATTTATATTCTGGGCTAACACAATAGTCAATACCTTGTAATTAGGGACAAAATTTACTTATTCATTAATTATATATCGACCTTATTAACTATGAGTACAAAGATTTTACTGTAGTTGGCTATGTAGATTTCTTTATATAGTTGATAATCATTTCTTCTTTTTGCCATCATAATACAGTATCATGCTACTTGATTAGTTAGGGAAATGATAAGTATATTTTATCCAAAAATTATGTGATCTTTGAATATAGTTTTTGAATTTGTGGTATTTTATTCGATTTTTAATGACCCAAGACCCTAATATAAATCTATAAGAAAAAAAAAAAACGTGAAATAAAAAATGGTCTGAATGTGTGACGCAAGGGCTAGTTAATTGAGAGGAATTGCAAAATTGGTGGTACAAAACCCTAAACCCAAAAATCCCCAACTCGGAAACTTGAGAAAATGATGGATGATGACACTGAACTCGTCGTCAGTAGCAGCGACCAGAAGATGGACGACGACGCTTCTACCGAAAACCCTGCCGCTCCCCGACCTGATCCCCCCTCGTCGGATGATTCCGGCGAGTCTGATTCCGACTCAGAGGATGAAGCCGAGTCGAATCAGCAGATTCAAACCCTAGAGTCGGAGCTCTCCGCCAATCCTTACAACTACGATGCTTATGTCCAAGTAACAATCACTCTCTCTACCTTCCCCTTTTGCTATAAATTGTCGTTTTAGCTCACTCAGAACCTGAGAGGAAAGCAAAATTTGATAATCTTCATTTCAGATTTCTTAGGGAAAACTTTTATACCGAAACTTCATGTTTCTTTGGGATAAAATGATATTGCTTGTGTATATTTTGGAAAACTTTGAGTTGTGTCTTCTCTCTTGTTGGAAGATGGATGGTTTTTCTTGGTTACATTTTTTTTTCCTGACTTTTTGCTTTCTTATTTCAGTACATTAAGCTTCTCAGGAAAACAGCCAACCTTGAAAAGCTAAGACAAGCAAGGGAAGCTATGAGTGCCATATTTCCATTGAGTCCTTCCTTGTGGCTAGAATGGGCAAGGGATGAAGCATCTCTAGCCTCTAGGTAAAATTAATATTTGCACTTCTTTGGCTCATACTTTCGTTTTATCATAGGCTTCAGATGGTCATTCTTTGTTACGGTTCTGGCATGCAATTTTAACAGACCCTCTGAAAGCTTTGTTACATTTATCTGTCTTCTGCAGTGAGAATGTGCCTGAAGTTGTGATGCTTTATGAACGGGGACTTTCTGATTATCAGGTATTTTTTGCTTCTGTACTGGATATAACAGCTTGAATAATCATACTATTATCATTTTGTTAGATAGATTGACTAAAGTAATACTCTGGTATGCAATATCGAATTGTTCTGTTAGGGTTACCAAAGTTTTAACACTCTGGTAAATATTTAGTATTGCAATTATAAGGCAGCGATGCTTTATTATCTATCCACGTTAAATCAATAAGCTAATAGCTTTTCTTTGATGCAGTCTGTATCTCTTTGGTGTGACTACCTGAGCTTTTTGCTAGAATTTGATCCATCAGTACGTGGATACCCATCTGAAGGTATTTCCAAAATGCGGAGTCTTTTTGAACGTGCTATTCCGGCTGCAGGCTTCCATGTTACTGAAGGCAATAGAATATGGGAAGGTTATAGAGAATTTGAGCAAGGCGTCTTAGCCACTATCGACGAGGCTGACCTTGAGGTTGGATCCAATCTTGATTTTGTTCATCTACATTTCGTTCACTCTAGTCTAGCAGCATCTTAGCAAAGGTTGTGTAGGATGATTCCTTTACTAATTGAAATAGAAGTATAATAATGGGTTGCTGCGCATAGTTTTCAGTGGATAGAACTAACACCTTGTTATATACGAGAGCTAGTCGTTGATATGTAAATATCCTTTAGTCTGTAGGCTCTAACGTAGAAGTAAATCTGTTTATTCACATCTCTTTATAGTTCTTTTGGCATCATGAATTTAGTTTTATTTTACAGGAGAGAAATAATCAGATACAAAGGATCAGAAGCATATTCCACCGTCACTTGTCTGTTCCACTGGAAAACTTGAGCTCCACCCTTATTGCTTATAAGGCTTGGGAGTTGGAGCAAGGCATTGACCTTGATATTGGATCTGATGATTTGAGTAAGGTTTCTCATCAAGTTGCTGCTGCAAACAAGAAGGCACAGCAGATGTATAGTGAGCGTGCCCATCTTGAAGAACACATATCTAACAAAGATCTATCTGACACGGAAAAGTTTCAAGAATTCATGGTGTGTATGGTTTATCGTGCAGTTCATATTTGTCATAAATGTTGTGTAGAAGTTGGATTCTAATATGCCTACAATCTGCTCATATTGTGTGAAGGATTTAGAATCTGCAGACTGGGCATGTTGTTTGCTAGTGTTGCATCGTTTTTTTTTTAAAAACTTATTCCTCTCTCTTTTGTTCTTGTAATTAGCTTTATCAAGTAAAAGAAGTTATCTATATGGAAACGTGATGATTGTAATTATTTCTTTGTAGAATTATATAAAGTTTGAGAAGACTTCTGGAGATCCTACCCGAGTTCAAGCTATATATGAACGTGCTGTGGCTGAATATCCGGTTTCAAGTGACTTGTGGATAGACTACACCATGTATCTTGATAAAACTTTGAAGGTTCGTCAAGAATTTGTTGTATAGCTTCTTTTTGGCGTTTTATCTATCATCTTTTCTAAATTGTCTTTTTATGGTGCTATTTTCTTACAATTTCTACTTGATCTGTACAATGGACTTCCTGCTTCAGGTTGGAAAAGCTATAACGCATGCCTATTCTAGGGCGACTAGAAGTTGCCCATGGATTGGAGATCTTTGGGCACGTTATTTGCTTGCTTTAGAGCGTGGTTCTGCATCTGAGAAAGAGATTTATGCTGTAAGTCTCAACTTGTTAAAATTGAAAAACAAAAGAAATATAGTGAAGGAAAGGATACTTACCCTAACATTGATTTATGTCTCTTATCTTCCTCTTACCATATCCGATGTGTTATGCTATGAGATTTTCAGAAAGTTATACTGAGAATATTCTATTATTCAAATTGTTGCGTACAGATCTTTGAGAAGTCATTGCAGTGTACATTTTCCTCCTTTGAAGAGGTACAACTTTACTTTCATGAAGTTTTATTCATTTCTAGCATGTATCCATTCAACTCTATCCACATATTTCTTATGAGTTGTTCCTCATCAGTACCTGGATTTATACCTCACTCGAGTAGATGGCCTGAGAAGGAGAATGTTATCAACTAGGATGGTAGAGGCTCTGGATTATTCTCTGATAAAAGAAACTTTTCAGGTTTGTCTGCTGCTTTTACCATCTTATTAGTATTCTCAAATTCTTGCTCTCAGCTTTCAAGATCTTTGTATGCTTGCACTTCTTTTAGCTAATTGCATTCTTTTCGTAGCTTTCCATTTAAGAGGCTATATAAGATTACCTTTTTCTGTAAGAATAGTGTTCTTTTGTTTAGCTTTTCTCCTGACTTAGATCTCTTCTGAATCACTCAAATTAACTCAATGCTTCTTTCCTGTCAGCAAGCATCAGATTACCTAACGCCTCACATGCAAAATACAGACAGTTTGCTACATTTGCATGCTTATTGGGCTAATTTGGAACTTAATATTGGAAAAGATCTAGCTGGAGCACGAGGTGTTTGGGATAGCTTTTTGAAGAAAAGGTTTTGCAAGCTATATCCTTTATATTTGATTGATTACAGATTTAAACTTGAAATAATCCAGGCAGATTACAGATTTGTCAGCATAAGGCAATCTGGTTCACTATGGTTCATCTTACTTGGTTCTCTCCAGTGGTGGGATGCTAGCAGCCTGGCATGCATACATTGATATGGAAGTGCATTTGGGGCATATAAAGGAAGCTAGGTCTATTTTCCGGAGGTGCTATACAAGAAAGTTTGATGGAACTGGCTCAGAAGTATGCACTCGATTCCCTCTTGTTTTATGTGTTACTGTTAACATTTTTTTGTTATCCAAGTAGGATTATTTGACTCAGAACACATTCTTTAGCTTCACATACAACTGAAACGGCTGTCTATTAAATGGAAAGTAGAGAAACCATGTATAAATGTGCCTACTGCAACACAAGCACTTAGATTGAGTTTTTTGTGTTTTTGATGGTCGAGGAAGATTTGCAATACGTGACATTTCTTTGAAACAGGAGAGCATGTATGCCTGAGCTTTCACCTTTAATTTCTAAATGCCTATATTCATTTCCTAAGAAGGACAATTTTCCAGGACATATGCAAAGGATGGTTGCGCTTTGAAAGGGAGCATGGGGATTTGGAAGGTTTTGACCTAGCAGTTCAAAAGGTATTATTGTTTACTGTTTGGCATTTCTAGAAAATGGTGAATATTGATAAATTTGGGTGGGTTCGAAATTTTTTTTTGTTAATTCTTTTGTGATAAATACATTTGATCGATCTGTTAAATGAAGATTAGATTCATGTCTACCGTGCTGCTCTTGGCTTCTTATGATGTTCAGTTTTAAGAGCGATGCATTTTGTGCTATAAATCATGCAAAGTTGTAGAAGCTGTAGATTATGCGAGTTGCTTGATTTTTGTTCCGTAGGTTATGCCACGCTTGGAAGAGCTACAATTGATCAGGTTACAACAGGAGTCTACACCAGTCAAACCGTCAGCTGGTCTGAAAGAGCATAACTCACAAAAGAGTGCAGGTGAAAAGAGAAAAGCAGAACCGAATGTAGAAGAAGAGTCTTTGGCTAAGCGGCAGAAGAGGAAGGGTCAAAAAGAAATGGACGTAGGTGGTCAGAGTGCAACTGTACCAAACACAAAAAATGTTAAAGCAGAGAATGGAAAAACAGCTGATTCAAATAAAGAAGAGACGGAAGATGCCAAACCTCTGAAGCCGAAAATTTATACAGACGAGTGTACAGCTTTTATTTCAAATCTAAGTGTCAAGGTAAGTATATAAGCTTCATGTAAAATTCATGAAGACGGCCTACTGAAATAACATGTGTGGGATTTTCAGATACAAGCTACTAATATTGTTGTTGGCAGGCACAAGAGGAAGATATACGTAAGTTTTTTGGCGATGATGGTGGGGTGGATTCCATTCGCATTCTCCATCACAAAGACACTGGAAAACCAAGGGTCTCTCTCTCTCTCTCACACACTCACACCTTAAGCATGTGATGTCATTTTCTACTGTCACTGTTAATGAATCTGGGACTTTCCCAGTTTCCGTGTGATCATGTTGGGATTTAAAATTCCAGCCATATAGGAGTTGCAGGGAAAGGAAGTTTTGTAATAGATTTTTCCATCTGAAATGATTGGCAGGAACTGTGCACTATAGATCACAATTAGATGCATACTGCCAATGACTTGGTCCTTCTAGTTTCTGTTTTAGTGATTATGCCAATATGGTGGCTTAATAAGCTTGATCCTCTTGTGTCTCGCAGGGACTGGCATATGCTGATTTTGTGGATGATGAACACCTTGCAGCAGCTATAGCAAAGAACAGAAAGATATTCTTTGGTAAGAAGATCAGTATAGCACGGTCAAATCCAAAGAAGGGTAAAAAGGAATTCACTAGGCGTGGAAATGGTTAGAATCTATCTCTCTTTCTGGGTTTTTTTCATAATGTAGCTAGCCATGTATTGAATTCGTAGCTACTTCTGGTTTAAATAATTATTAACTGGTATGATCTTGCTTCCATAGATGGTTCAGGGAATTCAAAGGAACCCTCCCTGATTTCTGAGAAGGCGAAAGCACCTCTTGGTGGAGAAATGGAGGATGTAAGGCAAGGAAATGAAGTCGAGGTGAGGGGTAAGAACACGTTTACTGTCCCAAGACAAGTTAAACCACTCGGCTACACTACACCCAAACCCAGCGCAGATGAGACGCCAAAATCAAATGATGAGTTCAGGAATATGTTCCTTAAGAAGTAAGCCTTTTGCTTGGTCCTTATCTTCCTTCCCCTGGATACTGTCTTGTTCTACTAGACTTAAATTTTAGTCTTGCTAGACGACCATGTTTTCGTTCCGATATCGTGTGTAGAGAAAACACACATAAGTCTGACGCTTTTTATTTTATCACTAAACTTTTAGCAGAAAATGTTAACATGATATCAAAAAAAAAAAAAACTACAGTTTTGCCAGTCTACAAGTTCTCCAGTTTCACTATTCTAATTGTTAAACAAAGGGGTTGATATATTTTGATGTTTACTGTCATTTAAATTGATGTTGGAACCAATTAGTCATGTATTCTGAGAGCTTTACCAAGTGATTTATACATGTTTTCTTTGAAGAGAAGAAACTAAAACCCTTCTCATGAAGTAAGCTTTACATGCAAAAATTTCACTTTGTACACTTGGAATCTTTTGTAGTGACTGCCAAACAAAATCAATGACTAAAAAATTAGTGGTGGCAACGGATTTTTGAGGTGGTATGAAAATTAGGTGGGGCCTCTGCAAGATAGTGATAATTTAACGGTCACAAAGATTGAAGATCCCAAAAAGCTTAAAAGAAGTTCATGATGCTTTTTAAATTACTTTTTGACTTTTGTTCTTCAACGGTTACAAAATAGTCTCCTTTTGATACAAAACGCAGAGACCATTTTCTTAAGCCTGAACATTACTCAATGAAGGTTATGAAAGCAATGAAGAAGCTCAAGTTCTGGTCAAGAAAGAAGAGGAAACGTAAGCAAGCTTGCCCATCTCAGCCTCACCATTGCTCTTATGAGTACTCTTCCGCGGCAGCAGCAGCGGTGTTGGTTGAGCCCACAGCGCCTCCTCTTCCTTTATGGTTCGATGAGAGCCAGAGTCTTTGTCAGCCAGAGACATCAGCATTTCCTTGGCATACTCCTCACCAACAAGTAGAAACCATCGTTGAAGCAACCCCGTTATTGTTGTCTCAAGTGTCCGATCTTCATATCTACCAGTCTTATCAACAGTACATGGTGCCGAATCCAACTAGTGACGTCCCCGTTGTAGAACCAGCTACGGCTAAGAGATCAGTGGGAATATTCGGTTGTGTTATCGAGTTAAGTTCGAGTCTAGTTCGTTGTTTCATACCGTGATTGAGCAATTATGAAACCGATTGCGAGAATAATTCAACATCTTTGACATGTTCCATGTATCATCTTTGCATCTTCTCAATGACATCATCATCAAGTTATGGTCATAATTTTCTAGAAATGTAAAATAAAACTTAGTAACCTCATAAAAATGGTTGTAATATTAAATTTTTTTAAAAAAAGATTTTTATTAATTTGAAGTTTTCTTTGGTATATATAAGTATATAACGTCTGAAATTCACCTAATTGGTTTCTGAAGTAAATGCATTAGAGCATCATTATTGATGGACTCTTAACTTTTGCTCTTAACATTATTTAAAATTAAAATTTTGCTTTTTGAAAGCTAAGATACAAAGAGAATATCTTAACAAAAATGTTCTCCAATGGTTGGTTCTTAAGAAAAAAATTTCAAATTTTTGCAAAACAATATTTTCCAATACAAACATTCATACAACCAAACTCATACAAGCTTTGATATCTATCATTTTCACTAAACATGTCTCTTGCATGCTGTTTCTTTTTTGCAAACTGTCATCAGAGAAATCCTTGAAATGTTGCCAAGAACATTCATCATTATTGCACCTTCCACGTAACTCGTACATGCAGAGAGGCCAAGAAGGGTCCACCTTCAAATAAAAGGTGTAGAAGCCAATTTTTTTCTCATATACTGTAGTTTCAGTCAAGCTCCTACATTGTCTTTTATCACTATATAGGCTATATGACTTGTTTTGAAGTGTATATTCTGGTCCTAGAGACGTAATTGAAGACCTTGGTACTTTCAGATGATAGATTGTGCTCCGAAATAAAGGACCTGACAAAGCTACAGACGATAAAAGGTCATTCTCTGGTGAACTCCTATGGGACTCCATATCTATAGATGACTGAAATTCCTCCATTGAGCTTCAACACAAAACCATGTGAGGTTTTTGAGACACATAAAGACAATTGACAAAAAGATTCAAGCTTTAACACACAACTCACATTCAAACAGAGATTCAATTTGACAAAAAAACTATAAACTTTGGTTCTAACAAACCAACGAGGCATTAAACCAGAATGATTAAAGTTCATAGGTGTTGACTAACCTGAATAATTAACTGCACATCATTGATATCTAGACCACGAGCAGCAACATTTGTAGCCACCAATGTAGAAAACTTGCCATTCCTAAATCCAGCAAGAGTAACCTATAATCACATTCGCAGCCAAACAGAACCTGCAACCAAAATCAAACATAAACGGAGTCTTATTCCTAGTCATTGGATAACATCATTTTAGTTTAAACAACTTCCACAGCTAATTACAAGAATAGAAACTTCCACAACTTCCACAACTCAATCATAGATATAATGCTCCATAGAAATAAAACCATAATTACTATGTCATCACAATGAATTATATCTCACAAAAGAAAGAACAAAGTAAATTCAGAAAAGCAACTATATCAAACATATAAGGAAGGAAGAATCTGGCACCTTTTGGATCAACTTCACGAGAGATCTTAATGGCATCAGATGTAGCAAGATCCTGATTTGCAGGGGAAATAGCTAGTATGATGCAATTGGGCTGTCAAAAGCCCAAACCTGACCACCGACGACGGCAATGAGTCCCACAGAGTTGGGAGGGAGCTTCCCTCGCCGTAATCTCCCAGAGCTGTACAGGCTCTCTGAATCTTGTTCACAAGCGCAATCAAAATCTCCATAACAAAATCAAACCTAATCAGCTCCGATTACTCAACGGCGGAATCAATATTCCGGAAGTCTCTGGAAGAGAATCAACAGACTTCTCCTTCCAAACAGACCAAATTAAAAATCGAAAGCCTCCATGGTTCGTGTGAAAGAGAGAGAGAGGGGAGGAGAAGAGAGAGAGGGAAAGGAGTAGAATAAAAGCTTGACACGTGTACGTCTCTTAGGTGAATAAAAGTCTCTTAGTTAAGGAACGTTGTTTAGTGTTAAAGGAGAAAATTCAATAAATTTAATCACTTTTATTCCTAAGATTTTCTTAAGATCTACCTAACATACTCCCGTTAATGATGCTCTTACCCTCTAATTTATTAAAACAAAGTGGCTTACAGACAAAACTTGCTGCTGCATTTCTGACGTTAAAACATTACCCAAAACAGCAAAGTGGGCCTACGGACAAAATTCCAGCTATAAAAAAAAAAAGACATAAAATCCAATGCACGACCAAATAAATTCCACGTGGCAAAATACTGAGTTAACTTACACTTCTTCACTTACAGTTTCCACATGACACACGCCTCTCTATTACCCTAAAACCACACTCTAAGCTCTTCCTCTTCCCTCGGATTTCGGCAAATCTCATCGGATTAAGACTGATCACTATGTACGGACGTGATCCATGGGGCGGTCCTCTGGAGATCAATGCGGCGGACTCTCTCACCGACGACGATCGTAGTCGAAACCTACAAGACCTTGACCGTGCGACTCCTTCGCGGCCACTCGACGAAACACAGCAGAGTTGGCTTCTTGGACCAAAAGTGCTGAAGAAGAAGAAGTACGTCGATCTTGGATGTATCTTAGTCAGCCGTAAGATCTTTCTTTGGACTCTTGGAATCATTGTAGTAACCGCGCTTCTCTCTGGATTCATAACGTTGATCGTTAAAACTTTGCCACACCACAAACCCAAGAAACCACCACTGGATAATTACACAATCGCTCTCCCCATAGCTCTCAAGTTCTTCAATGCTCAACAATGTAAGCACTACAAATTTGGGGTCTTTCTTACTAAATCAGTCTGTAACATGGATCAAGGAATAGCTTTTTTCTTAATTGACATTTTTTGTTTCTGGTGATACCTATCTTCATGTCTCAATTATATTTCTTATGTGATGATGTTGCTTTGCAGCTGGGAAACTTCCAAAGAACAACAATAGCGTAAAGTGGAGGGGTGATTCTTGTCTACAAGATGGGAAGGGAGATCCAGGACAATACTACAAAGATTTGGTAGGAGGCTACTATGATGCTGGAGATTCTATTAAATTCAACTTCCCAATGTCTTATGCTATGACCATGTTGAGCTGGAGTGTAATCGAATACAGCGCAAAGTACGAAGCTGCTGGCGAGCTTGACCATGTTAAAGAACTCATCAAATGGGGAACTGATTACTTTCTCAAGACCTTTAATAGTAGTGCTGATATAATCTATGAAATGGTGGAACAGGTAAAATAAAACACATTTTAGAAAATCTTACTTCTCTGTTCCAGCTTTTAACGTTCTTACTTTTTGCACAGGTCGGATCTGGAGTTAGCGGTGGAGGAAGTGTATTGCATAATGACCATTACTGCTGGATGCGTCCTGAGGACATTCACTATAAAAGGATTGTATATCAATGCTACAGTAGCTGCTCGGATCTTGCTGCAGAGATGGCAGCTGCTCTGGCTTCAGCATCCATTGTATTAAAGGACAACAGATTATATTCGGAAAAGCTTGTTCACGGTGCTAAGACGCTCTATAAGTTTGCAACTTTTAATAAGAATAGATACAGTACCCCTGGTAAAGAGTCTAGCAAATTTTATAACTCTAGCATGTATGAGGATGAGCTATTATGGGGTGGGGCTTGGTTGTATTATGCTACTGGAAATGTAACTTATCTAGAAGGAGTTACCAGTCACTACATGGCCAAGAAAGCTGGTGCCTTCGGGAATAGCCCTTATTATGGCGTGTTTAGCTGGGACAACAAGCTTCCAGGGGCTCAGGTTTGGTACTCTATGAGACATATATCCTTAGTTCTGCTTTTGGAATTATAGCTGATGCTTATGTGCTTTTTTAGTTGTTGTTAACCCGGATGAGGCTGTTTCTGAGCCCTGGATATCCATATGAAGAACTTTTAAGCGCATTTCATAACCAAACAGGCAGAGTTATGTGCTCTTACTTGCCTTATTACAAAAAATTTAACAGAACCAGTGGTGAGTTGTCTGTGAATTTGAGGATTTGCACACGTTTTGAAAATGTGATCAAGAAAATAATCTTGGTATCATCTCTACAGGAGGTTTGATTCAGTTGAACCATGGAGCTCCACAGCCTCTCCAATATGTGGCAAATGCGGCTTTCTTAGCGGCGCTATTCAGTGATTATCTAGATGCTGCTGATACTCCTGGATGGTACTGTGGTCCTAACTTCTATACTACTGAATTACTACGCGACTTTTCAAGATCCCAGGTATGCTTCACACTTCACAAATGAAGGAAAATAAACAAGATTTTGAAGGACCTTATCTGATGGAACTTTGTGTCTTTTGTTTTGGCAGATTGATTACATACTTGGTAAAAACCCTCGGAAGATGAGTTATGTTGTGGGTTATGGGCAACGGTACCCGAAACAAGTGCATCACAGAGGAGCTTCAATTCCAAAGAACAAGAGAGAAACCTGCACAGGAGGATTGAAATGGAAAAAGAGCAAAAAAGGTAACCCAAACACGATTGATGGAGCAATGGTTGCTGGACCAGACAAGCATGACGGATTCCATGATGTTCGTTCAAACTACAACTACACAGAGCCGACTCTAGCGGGTAATGCGGGTCTAGTCGCCGCTCTGGTGGCTTTATCAGGAGAGAAACCTGTTGGTGGTATTGACAAAAACACTATGTTCTCTGCCGTACCTCCATTGCCCATGGCTACACCGCCGCCTCCAGCACCTTGGACACCTTGAAAGAACTAAAACTTTTAGAATGTAATAAGTCATTTTTTTGCCTAAATAAAAAGTAATTTCAAGTCATAAAAAAGTAGTTTTCTTTAGGTTATTACATAAAATGTGGTCTGAGAAACCAAACATTGATTGTTTTCTCTCTGGGTTTTGTGAGGTATACAGTGTATATTCTTTGTTTTCTAATTTGTAAGTAGCTGCGTGAGAAGGAAGAAAGGTTTTATGCTTTATTGAAGAGATAACCTACACATTGTTCTTTCTCTCTATTCTTTTCCCTCTGTCTTCTTCCGTTTTTTATTCTCTGCTTTAAATAATAATAATAATAATTCAGAGTTGTCTCCATCTTGGAGGTGCAGAAATGGCAGAAGCAAGGTCTGGTTCTCTTGAGTATACACCCACATGGGTCGTTGCGTTTATCTGTTTCATCATTGTTCTCTTATCTCTTCTCGCTGAACGTGGTCTTCATCATCTTGGAAAGGTATACTATCACTGTCTCTTGCCTGTAAAATCTTGAGTTTTATCTCAATTCTTTTTCCAACTCTCCATTCTTCTCTGTTCTAGTGTCTCAAGCGTAGGCAACAAGATGCCTTATTCGAGGCCTTGCAGAAACTTAAAGAAGGTTTCTTTCTTCCTTCAATTTCATCTGCAATTGTAAACATGAATCGGTAGATTTGATTACACTTGAAGCTGACCATATTGATGTCCTGACACAGAATTGATGCTTCTTGGATTTATCTCCCTGATGTTAACGGTATCTCAGGCCGCAATTCGGCATATCTGTGTACCACCAGCTCTTGTAAACAACATGTTTCCCTGTAAGAAGCCATTGGAGAAGCATGATGCTCCTAAATCATCTCATTCGGTTATCATCAATGCACGACATCTCCTTTCAACAGGAGAAAGTCCAGACCATTGTGCTGCCAAGGCAATTTATCTTTACTTTTCTGCTCATTTCCTATCTCTTACCGGATCCTTTTCCTATTAAAACATTGATCTCTTGCTTTGGTTGCAGGGCCAGGTTCCGTTAGTATCCGTGGAAGCTTTGCATCAACTCCATATTTTCATCTTTGTGCTAGCGGTTTTTCACGTCATCTTCTGCGCATCAACAATGGTTCTTGGAGGAGCTAGGGTAATGTAACTTGCTTTTATAGCTTTTTGCTCAAGTTACAAAACAACATTGAAACCTTCTTTTTTCCAAAAGCTGGCTCTGATTATTTCATTGATTTGAAATAATATACAGATACAACAATGGAAGCATTGGGAGGATTGGTTCAAGAAACGTCCTTCTCAAAAGGGTGAGCGAGATTCCACAATAGTAATTAAGAATTACTGTACTTTGTACCTTAAAACACACAACGTACATAACATAATGTCACAGGCACTACAAGGCGTGGTCATGCTCATGCTCATGCTCACGAGTTATTCAGTGCAAATTACGAGTTCTTCGAAATGCATGCTGGAGGATTTTGGAGAAGATCTGTTGTCATCAGTTGGCTGGTGAGTTATGGATATATACTACTCCCAACAAGTACAACACATGAATCAAATTATCTTCTAATTAAACACCTTATCTGATTCTTAATGAGATTAGCCAATGTGTACTGTTCTTGCAGAGATCATTCTTCAAGCAGTTTTATGGTTCTGTCACCAAATCAGAATATATAGCTCTGCGACAAGCGTTCATCATGGTCTTACTTTTACTTTCTTATTCCAACATCTTATTTCGGTTACCAAATCTCTTTTGTAACAATAAGTATATTTTTCTTACCTTGCCAGAGTCATTGCCGCACAAACCCATCATTTGATTTTCACAAGTACATGCTAAGAACACTGGAAATAGATTTCAAGAAAGTTGTGAGCATAAGGTAAAATAATCAAATCATCTCTTTAGACAGACACACCAACTAATGGCTTGATCAGTTTTGTCTGACACCTTCTTGTTGATGTGATCATATATAAATATGAAGTTGGTATCTCTGGCTCTTTGTGGTCGTCTTTTTGCTGCTGAATGTTGGAGGATGGAACACCTACTTCTGGTTGTCTTTCTTGCCTCTGATTGTAAGTTCTATATATAATTGGCCTTTTGTCACTTTTGATCTCATTTTATCTTTTTGAATGGTTAAAAAGTGTTTCAAAAAATGCAGCTGTTACTAATGGTGGGTGCCAAATTGGAATATATAATAAGTAGCTTAGCTCTGGATGTTTCCGAGAAGCGAAACCGCGCGGAAGAAGCAGTGATCACACCTTCTGATGAACTCTTTTGGTTCCATAGGCCAGGCATTGTTCTCCAACTTATCCACTTCATTCTCTTTCAGAATTCATTTGAGATTGCTTTCTTCTTCTGGATTTTGGTACTTCTCTTTAACCCTCAGCTTCAGTTTCTTTTTCTTCCACAATTATTGAACAGTCCCATTCTTATTTACGATTTCTCTATCGTATCATCAGTTCACGTACGGAATACATTCATGTATCATGGAGAAACTAGGCTTCCTCATCCCAAGACTCGTCATGGGGTAATAATATGAACTCTTTTAACTCTAATTAAAAGACCTTCAAAGGTTTACATTAATATTTTTTGGTTTGATCTTTGTTCATACAGAGTGTTAGTCCAAGTGCTTTGCAGTTACAGCACATTACCACTATATGCCCTTGTTACACAAGTAAGTGTGTGTATAATCTCACATGCCTACGCCAATTAACAAAATTTGAATCAATTGTTGTTTTTTTTGTTTGATTTTCAAAAGATGGGTAGCAAATTCAAGAAAGGGATATTCGACAATGTAGTACAGTCCACACTTGAAGGATGGTTAGAAGATACGAGGAACAAAGGAGAATCCACAAGCGAGGCTCATAGGATAGAGATGCAATCTACGACTCCTGAATCTTATAATGTTCAAGTCATGGAAAGTGAAAACCCTTAAGTTACAATTTCTGTCGTAATCCAATAAGGTCCTCTATGATATCCCTTCATTATTTCCATTTAATCCGTTGTGCTACATTTAGAGCTCTCATCAGAGGATTGTGTGGATCTATGACATTGACCCGTTAACGTTTCCTTTCTACTTTTGAGGCTACTAGATTATTATTAGTTGACTTTTTAGTTCTCAGTTCTCAGTTCCCATTGAATACTTGTTTTTATTAGAATGCTTAGATATTACATGGATAAAAAAAATACTACTATATACTTTAACAACGTTTAAATTTTCAATGATGTTAGCGGATGGAGCTTTATTTTTGAGACACGTTTGAATTTTAAATTTTAAGTAACTTTTTTGTTCATAAGATAAATTTGTCCTCTCTTTAAAAGAAAGAGAATTTAGAATTGTTTTGTTGATAAGATAAATTTTACCTTTTTACAACAACAAATTACTCAAACTCATTGCCGTGTTTTTATACTTTCGACTTAATAGACGTTAATAGAATTAAAAAAACGTCGTTAACTTTGTTAAAGACAAAAAAAGGTACTAATGACATTGCATTTGGAAGCTTTCTTTTCGAATATCTAATATATTAAAAAAAAAACGTTTTTTGACTAAGTGAAACTTTTTTACTTTCTGTTAGTGTCTGTAAAGTATAACGCAATGATGAATAGTTGTTGATTTGCTTGGATATAAATTTTGTCGTAAAGTGTAACGCAATGTTAGTTTAGTACTATTAAAGTATGGTAAGCTAATTTGATGATGGAAAGTACAAATAGTTGTTGATTCTTTTCAACGAAATTTTAATTGCAAGTTTTTCATTTCATTGGAAACAATCCAGTGAATCTAAATAACTGTTGATTTTAAAACTAAAACATAGTTGTAGTTCAGCAGAAAAAGAAAAAAAAAATCAGAGATTTGACTAAAACAGGGCTATATATTATCCTACTAGATAATAAATAAACAGAAAAGGACATTCACATGATTCAACTTCCATCAAGATCCACAACGTTCCTCCTATCTCTCGTCTTTATCTCTCCCCCTCTATTTTCTCCAATCAAAAGAAAGATAAAGCAAAAGCTTTTTAAAATGTTTTTCAAAAAAAATAATACTAATAAAGTGCAGTGCAGGCCCACTATGTCGTTGACTAATCTGGAGAGTGGTCACAAACACTTGCCATCAAACTCGAGAAATTAAAGAGTTTTGTCATGATTCGTCGTCGTCGTCTCGAGAACCAAAGCATGGTTGTGGTCTCCTTCGTATGTCACGATTAGCATCATCGCATCGTCCAGTGCACGCTCCACATGCTTACGCGCCGGACAACCTCTTACACTGCTGCACTTGTAATATCCCCTGTTGATGAAACACAACACCGAGTCCAAGTTCGAGTTTATTAATTATTGAGAACACAAGAGTCAACTTAACTCTCGGCTTTCTATTTTCAAATTTATTTTCTAGGAAACAACAAGTCAAAAAGAGCGTGAAACTGAACCCACTACTATTCTACTAGACGACATGTTTGGTACAACCAATATAGAAAAAAAACAATTACATTTTTTAAAAAATCTATCTGGTACTAATATTGACAATACACAAGTTGCTCAATTTTCTAATCTTCTAGCCAATATTTTGATTTTTTGGTGTTGAATCTAGTGAATGATTGTGATGTATATGTGTGGATTATATCGATGCTAAATAGTATGAAAAATAGTTGGGACTAACCGAGGATGAGGAGAGCCTTTAATTGGTTTTTGACCGTATTTTCTCCATGAAAACTCGTCTGATGGTATATCAGCCATTTTGCTACTTACTGCTGGAACTCTAATCACTCTCTTCACTCTTGATTTCCTGATTATATAATAAGGTTTTTATTAATCAAATCTCAAGATTTAGATCTAAAGTAAGATTAATTTTTAAAGTCGAAGCAAACCTTTTCTTGGAGCAATGGCAACGACTAGAGGGAGAGGAGTTACATCTTCTCTTTAATGAAGCTGATGATAAAGGAGGTTTACCTCTCGAACCAGAGACCTGAGATGGGTTAGTGAACTCGAATCCTGATGACATATGAGTACTGTTGGTGTCACATCTATGAGAAGACATGAATGAGTTCGTCGCTGAGACTGGTGGTGACGGCGCGAAGTTTATCGTTGACGGTGCTCCGTTTGTGAGTATCGGAGGAGACGAAGAAGACGAACCGTTCTTTGTTTGATTCTGATTGTTGTTGTTGTTGTGTGATAGAGGAGGACGACGATGAATTGGAGTTGGACAATAAACTCTAAAAGCAGATCCACCGTGATTGTATTGCTCTGTTTTCTGTTTTGTTAACACGGAGGTTGTTTCTGGCTTCTTCTCCTCCGCCTCCTCCTCCACCACCGTCGTTTGCTTAAACGGCGTTTGCGTCGTTGTGGGAGCTCGTCTGAATCTAGCGTGTCCAGTTCTAGATCTACCGAGTAAAGAAATGACCTTCTTGAAGTTGTTAACGGCGACGTCAGTCACCGCCGTTATCTCCGTCTGATTCTTCTCCGTTGGTTGACTTTGACCGATGAGTTTGAGAAACTCCTCCACACCGTGAATCCCTGCAGACGCAGCTTCTCTCAAAGCTGTGTCTTCCAGTTTCGCTGCCGCGACGATTGCAGGAAAACCGTCTCCTCCTCCGCCTCCGCCGTAGCTGCTCATCATCAGCTCAACCGTCATCTCAAACCAAGACACCAACCAATCTGATTCTTCTCAAAGGTCAAAGGAGATGTTAAGATACACAGATTCAACAGTTTTCTTGTAAGTTGTGTTTTGGTTAAAGAAGCTGATGATGATGATGAAGGAAGAAGAAATGAAGAGAGTGAAAAAGGGAGAAGAAATTATAGGGGAGAGTCAACCATTTGTGTTTCTCTCTCTATCTTTGGGGATGTGTTGATAGCCTTGTTTGAAAAATCGCTAGGCGCTAGTCGGGCGCTCGGCATGGGCCTAGCGATTAATCGGAAAATCGGATTAAAATCGGGGATTAATCGGGGATTAGTTTTAGGGTTATTTTAATATTTTTAAAATATATTAATCCAATATTGTAAAAATTTATGATTTTTATTACAAATTTATGATTTTTATTAAAATTTGAACACAAGTTATTGTAAAACATCACAAACTCTCCATTCAAATGATTGAATAACAAAAATAAAAAGTTTTTTTATACTTGCAATCTAAAAAATAATCGGGGTATATAAGATTAGGCGGAAAATAATCGGATTAGGCGGAGAATAATCGGGTTACTGATTTTTTAGGGGATTAGTCATTAATCGAGGCGGATAGGGTGGGCCTAGCGATTAAGCGGGGAGTAATCGGGGCTAGGCGGGGATTTTTAGAACAGGGGTTGATAGTGCATCAGTCAAATAGACCACCACTCATAGGCCTCCACGTGTGAGCATTTCTCAAGCGTTTTGACACTCTCAAACGTCAATGATTTTAAATTTGGAACCAGTGGAGCTCCAATTATAAATATTCGTTATATTATTCGAAAAAATCTAGATATTTTATAGTATTTTTTTGAGGCTGATTAATATACTAACATTTTTATGTAAAATAGAATAAATCACACATACTGATTTCGGGATATTCGTTTTAAGTTGGGTGATATCTTCGCGGTTTCCTCTATTCTTGGTTCTTCTCTGTTTGTGGTTGTAGATCTTTTAGTATGCGACTTTTGAGCTCTTAGTTCTGCGACTAGTGTTTTCCTCCGACTTTTTCGGTGATTTCGAGAGCTTTACTTTTTGACTTTTGTATTCTATCTTGTGTTTTCCGTGTTTCGGGCTTTAGCTTCCGGAGATTTCTTTGTTTTCCGCCGGCTTTTGTATCCTAAAAACGCATTCCAAAAACGTATTTCTCCAGTGTATTCCACCCTTGTATTATAAAATGAAAAATCTTTCACTGAAAAAAAAAAAAGAATAAATCACACATACTGATTTTATAAATACTCCGATGTACCAATACCACTAAAGGAGATTTTGAAAGGAAAAACAAGAAAGAGGAGACTTTTGCTGTACTAGCCACAGTGATTCAGTAATTTTTGGAAAAATCATTATTTTTTTAATTTATCGAGTTTGGCAAAGTTAAGTTTGCCTTTCTTTTGTTTGGTAAAGTCATTAGAGGAAAAAAAATATTTTTAATGAAAAACATTGTTTCTTAAAACGTACACTTAGGACGAGTGTCATGATTGTGGTTCGGTCACAACAACGGAACTTATCGACTGGACTTGGCCCATGGAGGTGAATGGGTAGGAGGACATCGTTACCGTGAAAAATATGTGTTTTGTTAAAAAAAAGATTAATGTTCACATGGGCTTTAGACTCATTATGTTTTAACATATGCCCATTTATTTGGTTTTGTACATGGCCCAAATAAACTATAAACTGCCCTTGCAATTTAAAATATACTTTTCTAAGCATTTAGATTCCAGTAGAGTAACTCAGAACCTTTTGGTCTTATTTTCTATTTATATACCATTCAAAAATATAACTTAATTTCAAATCTAGGCATCAAAATTTAGTAATGTAATGTTCATAAAAGCTTTTTTAAAAAGCCAGATTTCATTTGTTATTTTAGTGGAAAACTTTAAAACTAATAAAACCCAAAAAAATGAAAAACTCTTGCAATCATTATTTTGATTTTATAACTTATCAAAGAGTCCAAAAACAAAGATCCAGCGAGAGGAAGAATGAAAAAAAGCGGCGCACAAGGAGCCGGTGAGGTGGAGAAGAAGATAAGAATAAAACCGCAAGAGCCAAGTGAGCAGTCATAGCGGTTAGGCGTTGAGAAAATATTATTGACGGACGGACCCGCTTCCCTTATAAAGCCGAATATGCTTTCTTCTTCTCTCTCATTTATTCCTTTTTCCTCTCCTCTTCTCTTCTTTAATTACATTCTTTTTCCTTTTTTCCTTCTTCTTCCTCAGAGATCCTAAGTATCTTACTTTCCTTTTCGTCATCTTCTTCGATCAATCATGGAGTTTTTCTTTGAGATGCTTCTCACGGCGGTTGTTGCTCTCTTGTTTTCTTTCCTTGTCGCCAAGCTGGTCTCTGTTGCCACGGTGGAGAACAGAGGAAACGATTTGAGTTCTGATCAAGCGGAGAAGCACGAGATCGGTGTCGGTGTTGAGTTTGTTACGGAGGAGGTTCGTCTTGGTATGAAGATGGATGCTCGTGTGCTCGAAAGCGAGAGGAATTTCCATGTTGTGGAGGGTAATGTGGAACTTGTGGATCGGTTTGAAACCGAAGCTGATCGAGTTTATGATGTCGAAGAAGCTGCTACATTAAACGCTAAAATCCGAGGTAACCGTGAAGCTGAGTCCTCGCCTGCAGTCTCGTCGGAAAATAATGTGATCGCGGAGGAGGTGATAGTTCGTGGACAGGACGAACAGAGCGACGAGTTGATGGTTCCAACCACGGAAGCTGAGTCCACTGCTTCTTTCTCGCCGGAAAACGTGGTAGCGGAGGAGATTAAGAGTCAGGGACAAGAGGAATCAACAGAATTAGGAAGAAGTGCTTGCGTAGAAAAGGAAGAAGGTGGTGGAGATGTCGTAGTCGCTGAATCTGAGGAGCTTAGGGTTGAAGAGAGTAGTGATACGGTGGAGGAGAGTGAAACTGAAGCAGAGAATGAAGAGAAGACAGACTTGACTATTGAAGAAGATGATGATGATGATTGGGAAGGAATTGAGAGGAGTGAACTTGAGAAAGCCTTTGCAGCTGCTGCAAAACTCATGGAAGAATCAGGGAAAGTGGAAGAAATTGGTGCTGAAGCTAGGATGGAGTTGTTCGGCCTTCACAAGATCGCCACTGAAGGGTCATGTAGGGAGACACAGCCCATGGCCGTCATGGTCACTGCTCGTGCCAAATGGTACCATACTTTTCCATGTTTCTATATTCCGTACTCTGCAACTCAGCTTTTGATCTTTTAGTTTCTTGGTAATTGATACTTCTTAGGTGAACGTCATAAAGGAGAGAACTTTGTGAGTGTTAGACTGATGAAGATTAGGTGGTTAGGGATACACGTCTATATTGTAGAGTTTTGTAGGTCTAATTGCTGCTGATATATGGAAGAAGAGGATCCCATACACTAGAAACTAGGAGTGATAAAGCTTTGAAATGTACCTGATTTTCTAATTAGGACAGAATCAGCAATTGTCTGGAATAAGCATTGGTGTATAGCTTGGTTGACAAATTGTCCTTACTTTGTTCTTAGGAATGCCTGGCAAAAACTTGGAAACATGAGTCAAGAAGAGGCAATGGAGCAGTATCTTGCACTTGTCTCAAAGGAGATCCCTGGTTTTATGAATGCTGGTCATACTGTGAGTTGTTTGATCTTGAGGGTTTGAACATCACCTGGATGTGTTTATTGGGTTTTGAGGTCTGAGAAACTTTGACTTGTTCTCTCTCAACAGGTAAGGAAGATGTCAGAAATGGAAACCTCTGTTGGCTCACCTCCTAATTCAGGATCATTAGAAGATCCGACCAACTTAGACACAACTAATGTTGATGAATCCAGCAAAAATGGTATCCTCTAAGAGTAATGATATCTTTGTGTCAGCGATTTCTCGCATCTTTCATTCCAGACCCCAGTCATCTGTTTCTTTTTCTAACTGCAAGCTAATTCGTCTTAGAATTAGTTTCAGGGGAGAGGTGAATCCAGTGTTTAAGCAGCCAAGGCAAGGCTTGGAGGGTCTCTGGGATAACAAAGGAAAATCTATTCTTTTGCATATAAGTATTTTTCAGTGCATTTGGTGCAACTTGGGTCGTCGAGAGTGTATGCATAATTCATTATCCTCACCCAATGGTTTAGGCTTTTCATTTGATCCCTTTCGTTGAAGGAGTTGAAGGAAACCAAAACACTTAATTATATGTATACATATGTGCGCGAGGATTGGCTGATTTCTAGTGCATTGATAATGCTAAGACCTTATGATTTATGAATCAAGCAACGGTCGTTATATTCTCCTAGTAGTTGTCTTTGATTTGATTCTACGTACCAGGACTACCTAAAGGGTAATGATTATAGATTTGCCATCAATACTACTTTCGAAATAAGCCAGCTTTCTTACTTGTAAAAGAGAGAGTAGAGACAAGTCCATGCGAAGCCTTCTCCCAGCTAGCGTCTTGAACCATGGATACCTTATTACGTGCGTTCACAAGACTTATCAGAACACACACCAACTTATGGAACCATAGGGAGTACTAAATACACTCCAACTGCAAAACACAGAATCCGGTGTGTTTAGGACAATACAGAATCAGCATTTAAAGCTATTTCTCCTTAAGACAAAAGCACCATTGTCCAATATCTTTCCATTACAACTTGTAACGACGATATTTGAAAAGTGAAAACTATCACAGAAGAGTAGAATTTTCGGAAAAAACAGAGGGTTTACAAGACTAGAGATGGAATATTCAAAAACAGAAAAAGGGTGAATGCTCTTATTTCATTTTTTCAGCAGACACCAACGAACTGAGATTTCGGGAGAAACATAAACATGAAACCAGAGAAAAACATCCAAGTATGTTTGGAATCAAGGCACGATCTTGAACGCCTTGTACTTGTCAATCCAAGAGATAAAAGAGTTGTTGGAGTTCCTAAAACCAAGGAAGCCATGTTCCTTACTCTTGTTCATACTATCAATCAGTCCATCAACTCCAAGTATAACATCAGCAAACCACCACACACCAACTTCTTCAAGCTTTTTCTCCTGCAACTGATTCTCCTTAACCATCTCCTCCCACACTCTCTCTTTCCCTTTCATCATCTCCACCAACCCCAAATTCTTCCCTTCCTCAAATCCATACTCCTCAATCCCAAACTGCTCAGCTAGAATCTTCCACAGATGCTTCCACTTGAAGATATCAGCATTGTTGCAGTTAAACGCCTCGTTCTTCGCATACGGATCAACCGCAGCCCAAATCTGCTGCTCCGCGATCAAATCCGCATCAGAAGCCGTCGTGAACCCTTCCCAAGCTTTCTTGCTCCCAGGAAACAACAACGGAGACCCTTCATGCTTACAGATCGCTGCATAGACACAAAGAGTCCCAACAATGTTCATCAAACTGTAAGGAGAGAACCCAAAGATCGTGTTTGGTCTGTGGATAGTCCACGTCACGGTTTCTATCTTCTTGATCTCATCAAACAGAACATCCTCTTGCGTATAATAGAAATTCTGGATCTGCAATCTCGGCATATCCTCAGTGAACGGTGGATCATGACGAGGTCCGTCAAGGTTGCTGAAAGGGCCAACGTAATGCTTTGTCCCTGTCTGGAGACAAACGTGCCGGAGATTTGGCGCGTTTGGGACAATCGCTCGGAGAACGTTACGGAGCATTGAGCCATTAGCCTCGCAGTTTTCACTCTCCGATTCACGGTTGGTCCAGGTCACGTAAAACACGTGTGTGACATCGGTTAAAGGGGAAAGCTTGGATCTTGCGTCTTCAGCGTCGGAGACATCGCACTGGATGTAATCGATCGGATGATCGGCGTTCCAGGTGGGTCGAGGACGACGAGCAACGCCGTAAACTTTCCAGGGACCACCGGGAGTATCGGAAAGAGGGAGAATCTCCGCCAAGCTGTTTCCGACGATTCCAGTAACGCCGATGATGAGAGCGACGCTTTCGTAGCTTTGCGACGGCTCATCGTCGTCTAGTTTCTTCTGCGAAAAACCAAATTAAAGAGAAGATTTTTAATCAGTGAGTAGATGAAGATCGGACGATAGTTTGTGAGATTGAATTGGATTTACCTTTGCAGCTCCGATGGCACCAGCCCACCACCAACTCATTTTCTCGCTTTTTTTCTGATTTTAGAAGCTCAGAGGTGTTTTGTGTTGCGGTCGTGGCTTAAGTAATTTGGATATAGAGAGAGAGCCGTGTGGGGTTTGTCTTTTGTATGTGTTTATTGTCATTTTTATAAGCAAAATGTCTTTGTAGCTAAACCAAAAAAGATGAATAAAATCTTCTTTTCTTTCACAAAACTACTTTTAGCACATTAACTTATGTTATTTTCAGTATGCCACATAAATGGTTTATAGTTTTTCGTAATCACTCGAGTTTGTTTATAAATTTTCATATAAAACCAAGAACAGAAAAGGAGTAGTATTTTTTTATCATCAATTCACATAAGCTCTTAATTTATTTTGTTGACTTATACATCTTATTTCATCTTTTTTTCTTTACCGACATATCAAAAAAAGAAAATGACAAAAGTGGTTGCAGAGATAATGATTTTGGTTTGAATGAGTAGCTATCACTCAAATACACATAAATCTGGCGAAATTAAGGCTAAACATCGCAATTAATAACGAAATTAGACAACATTTGAGATTTACCAAATCGCCGGAAAAAAGAGACGGCAAAACTGGATAGGACGGAATTATGTCCACCGGGAAATGTTACAAACGAAGAGGACATAAAGAAAATAAACAACATTACATAGCTTGACATTGATTCGGTTCTGCGTTAAGTGGTGAATGTTTGGTTTATTACCAAATTGGTTTCGCATGTTGAACACTGTTTTTCACTGAATAATGAAACTGAATCGTCTCTAAACCGTTCTTAATCTTATCAACTTGGATCACGAATCAATTTTGTTACAATCATTGTCCAACTACGGACCAACTTAACTTCACGACACAACAATTAACAACAAAATCGAATCATATTTGATAATATCAGTCTACTTAATCAGATCCGATTTAAGTAATCAATATTCTCATCAGCCTCTATTATTATTACAGAACAACAACTGTTGCTAACAGTCTGGCTATGAATACAACAAATTTTATTGCCAGCTTTGAGCATCACATCACATCACACTTATCAATCAACAAACTCCAAACACACAAAAGATAAAACCAAATAAACCCTAAGAATTTGTAAGTAATTAATTAGAGTTTGGGAGAGGTCTCTTAGTGAAACTCATCTTCTCGTAGTATCGAATGGAGAGAAGAGAAAGAGTGAGCTTAAGCTCGTCTTTACCGAATCTAGCACGCGGATTAGGTTTAGAGAGAGGCCAGAGGTAAAGTGAGTGGAGACGTCGGAAGCCACCAAGGGCCAAGACCACAGATCTGAGCTGGTTTTGGCCGCAGCCGATGTTAGTCCAGTGACGTGTACAGATCAGCTCCCAAAGCCGCTCGTCTTGTGCCGTTTTGCGCCAGATCTTGCTCACGCATGAAGACATAGCTAAGGTCTTTGCGTCTACGTGCTTCAATACCTCGTACACTAGATTCTCGTCTAAATTGGAGAATCCGATTTCTGAATCTTCTTCCTCCGTACTCTTCATCTTCTTGTGTGTCTCGTTCCGAGCATCACCGTCCAAATCAGAGTCGGTAGCACTGCGCTTCATGTGGAATTGATTAGCGAAGATCAAAGTTGTTTGATTTGAGAGGAGAGATGGAGAAAAAAGTACTGAATTGAAGAAGAAGATGAGATGAGAGATTGGGTTTTTTTCTCAGATGCCTTCTCTTCTGAGTATTTTCGTAGACGACAAAACAGATAAAATGCTTTTTGTGAAGTGACGAATTTACCCTTCACAGCTGTTTTGGAGTCTTTTGGTGTGTTCGTAAATGTTTTTTTTTCTTGTTTTCTTAGGGGGTGTTATTGGTTTATTAATTTGTAAATCCATATAGAATTTGAAAATTTCTATTAATTATGAAATCAAGATATATGGATTTTGAAATAACATGTGTTTACCCATGGATTTGAATCCTTCTATTTTTCTCTTTCAATTCCATTCAAATCCATTTAAAACATAATTTGGATTCTCAAATCCAAAAACAAATGACTAAACGAATAACATATGATTTCAACTAGTATTTATAAATTATAGAACCAATAACACATGAATTTAATTAAGATTTTAAAATCAATGATTAAATAACAAATGATTTTTGTTTGGATTTCTGATTCCTTATAAATTCATGAACCAATAACCCCTCCTTAATTTTCAACTAGTACCAGAAGAGACCTGTAGGAATTGGTGTATGTTAACGGATAATCCATTTTTCTAATCTTATTTTCAACTATTGACAATTAAGCATCACGTATTTTTCCAGATAAAAGAATCTGTCGTTTAGGACTTAAAACAGAGTGAATAATTTGGGGACCTTTTCATTTTCTTACTTGAATTGTCCTTTTTTTAAGATCAGAGTTTGGAAGTTGACCCTTTTTCATTTTTTTTTTGTTGTGTCAGCAACCTGTATTTGCCTCTTTTTTCTGATCAAATTAAGAAATATGGATTGCACGACGAGTCTTTTGACACAATCTACTATATAAACTGTCAGAGTTATGACAAAGCTTGGAACTAATCAAGAATTCATTTGTTTAATGCTCTCTATCTAATATAACTTCAGATGAGAACAAAATCATTGCCATCTTCACTGGATCATTCTTATCTCTCCAAAAGATGTTCGATGCGACGATCTCAAAGTGTCTGCGGCTTACATACATGTTCTTCGGTAATCTATATTCCATCGCGGCACCATCAGATAACGCGAGTACCCCTCTAGCTCCTCTACTCAATTTCCTATAAATAAAAATTGACGAAACCATCGATTAGTTTATGCGAGTTACTTGTATTTTGCAGGATGAGTTCGTTCGATGGTACTTGGAGTTATCCTTCTCAGCTAGAGTGGTGATTTATATTACAGTTTTGGGTACAATATATCTCCCATATTTATATAATTAACAATTTATGTTCAATGTAGAGCTAATTTGCTTTTTTTTTTTTTTTGTTATTGTTTCTTAGGGACTATAATGACGATTACTTATTTGGTATTGAAATTCCTGAGCGAATGTGACATGGAGGATGACACAGAGAGGCTACTACCATTGATGGCAGAAGAAGAGGTCCACACCGTTTGGACGCCGTTGATCAACGAGTCTTCGGAGGTAACCGGGAAGGGAGATGTAGAAACAGCGTCGTTTAGCTCGTCGGATGATGTGGACTACTCGACATTGTGTGTTATATGTTTCGAGGAACGTAGAAACTGTTTCTTTGTACCGTGCGGTCACTCTGCCACTTGTCGTGGCTGTGCTCAAAAGATCTTGTCGGAAGAAAATAAGGTGTGTCCGATTTGCCGAAGGGTAATACGCAAGTCTAAGAGATTAGTGTTGAAGAAGCTTTGAACGCCGTTTGCTTTTCCTAATCACCATTTTGCGAACTCATGTTTTCCAAGAAACGACACTAGTTAAAAGAAAGATCGAGTTTTGGTGTCATCACAAGACTCTAATTCCATACAATCTGTAACTTTAACAATGCATTCTATAACAACAACAAAAACAAAGACAAAGATGACTCCATGCCAATGTACACACTAGCATTCGGATTTTTTTCCTTTTTTTTTTTTTTTCCCGGTAAACTGATTTGTATTTATCATGTCAATAGACAATAATTTGCGTTTCTGGTAGTTTATGCGTATAGAGGTATATGGTATTTTATTTGGTATCCTTTAATCGAATGTATCATATTTAACATGCTAAATAATAATTAGATCCGGTCCATCCATAAGCCAAACAAAGCATTTGCTTTAAGTCACAAGATATAATACTAACCGAAAGGCTAAATTTGCAAAATTATCGTTTTGGTATGTTGGTTAAGTAGTCTAATGTTATCTCAAATGATCCTTTTTTTCAAAATATCTTTAATTCACTTATTATTTCATAGTTTGATTCTTTTTTATTAAGAAATTTTTTATAATATTTAGTTTTTATAAATAAGAGATTTGTTTCTTATTAGGGAAAAACAATCCTGGACAATTCAATAAATTTGCTGTAAATTATTTAGAGGAGCTAATTTTCATGAGGAGTAAATGTTTTACAATATACTGAAAACATTTAATGAATTTTAGTATTTTTAGTATAAACTTTTTTTTATCATTAATAATTATATAATATACAACATGTTTAAAGAATACTCTAGACCACTTATTAGTTATTAACATCAAATAATAAATCATATGCATAAAAATTATTTTGGTAAATTGAAAAACGTCTAAATGAAAATAATACATTTAACAACACACTATAAAGTAACATATTAAAAAAAAATCAAAACATATTTTAACGATATGAAAAAATCTCTTAATATTATATTATCAATTAGGATATTCACGCAATTTATCTGACTTTTTCTCCCATAGAATTCCGCAAAATTACAACTTGTTTTGGTGGAACCAATTGGGTTCTTGTTGACTCGAGAAGTTGGTACATAATGAGCCGGGCCGTGAGAGTCCCTACCGGTTCACTCCCACACGCTTAGCACGTGCAGTTTCATCAAAACGCAAACGAAATTGAGAAAAAAAAAAAAGTATTCACCAATCGTTTCATAGATTTTAGTTATTGAATATTTATTACCAAAAAGAATAAACGAAGAAAGCCTTTTCTTCTCTCTCGTTTTCGCGACAACCTTTTCCTCGAAGAAGAAGAAGAACGAGGTTTTCTCATAGAGCTGCCAACCATCGTTGCCGGAGATTTAGAAGCTGCGAAAATCGTAACAGAGTGAGAAATATATACACACATATATACAGAGGGACAAGGAAGGGATTGGGATATGCGAGTGGGCATCGGTTCTGTCGGAACGGCTAACTCGCTTGACCTAGGGTTTCGTCTTCCTTGTGCTTCATCGTGAGTTCTTTATTTCTCTCTCTCTTTTTAGAATGATGAATAGCTCTGAAATTCGCCTAGGGTTTATTAGTGGTATTCATTTTTGGTCATCTGTCTTAATTAATTTTGATTGTTTGAAATGATCTTTGGAATATTGTTCATTGAATTGGGCTGAATCTCATATTCTTTGTCATATAGTAATATGTGTTGAATTTTGCTAGTTTTTTTCTTCTGAATTTTAGGGTTTTGATCCTGGACCTGGGATTTGGTTGGCATGATTTTGAAATAACTATAGTTTCTGAGATTGGGAGATTTTACAATATTTGTTGTCCTTTTACTGTACCATCAATTTGAAATTGGCTTTATCCCCGTTAATATCAGTCACGGTCATAAGAAGGTATCTTGTAGTTGTCCTGCAGATTGTAGTTATTTGTTTTGGTACTATGCCATATGTAAAATTCATATTTTTCGACATTGGAGTGATCTTGGATTCCTTGCATATGAATTGGGACTTTCTAGTCTATTAGCAAAGCATGGTGAACTCAATTTCATATTCACTTTTTTTTCTGAACAGTTTGATTGTGTTTTTTGTACTTGTCACAGTAGGTTAATGACATAAAGTTTGTCCTGTTATGTTTTTTTTTTGTTTCTCAGGACTTTTTCGAATGGGAGAAAGAACCTTTTTGCTTCATAACAGTGTTCTATATTTTTGGAGTTGTCATAAGTAAAACAGTATGACGCTTGAAGATTTCTTTACCCTAACAGAAATAAAAGATGGACTCACGGCCACTTCTCGTGTTGAAGAGCTCGTGTCTGTTATGCAAAGTAATAAAGATTCAGTTTTGAAGAATAATGGTGATGCTTCTAGACAATGGACTGCTGTTGCAAGCACAATTGCGGCCACTAAGAACAGAGATTGTCTTGATGTTTTTGTAAATTTAGATGGACTCGTTTACTTAAGTAGTTGGCTAGCTGAAGCTCAGATGTTGGCTAACGATTCAGTTGACAGATCTGTAGAGGAGTCAATTCTTGCTTTGTTAGAAGCTGTTGAAAATCTAGGTGTAGACAGTTCGAAGTTAGTTTCTTCTGGGATATGGGTTGCTGTCAAGAAACTTGTTGACCATGGTAGTTCTCGGGTTCAGGATCAGGCGAGAAAGCTCTTTGGTAGCTGGAAGGATAAGGATGTGTATGACCACTCTGAACATGACATTGAAAGCTGTAACAAAATTCATGAAGATGAGATGAGAGTCGTAGCAGCAAGCATGGAGAGCAGTGGGCAAAAATCTGCTGTTACACTTTGTTCGACACAAAGTAATAATGAAAAACACTGTCCTGAAATAGCAGATGAAGCCTTGCTGTCAGGATGCTCAGAAGGAAACATCCCAGATCAAGATAAGGGTTTGGAACTGCAGAACGACAAGGCTGGGTTTGACTCGAACGTGAATTCCCATTGCTCTAATACGATGACTGAAACTGAAACTTTCAATGGTTCTTCGACGGATGATATCATGAAAGAGGTTCAAGAAAAACTTTCTGTGAAGGAGAAAAGCTCTATGAAGGGGACAGGTGGTCCAACGATTTTTGGTACTATGCCTACTGGTTCTAGTAGCCTACTTTATTTAGAGCGCGATAGTGCAGAAGGGCCATCAAATGCTCCACTGGGTGCTGAGATACCCAAGGAAAAGCAGATGGCAAACTATTTTCTTGAAAAATTGGGTGAAGCAGGGACATCTAGTGCAACAGGATATGTAGCTGTGTCTTCTGATTCTATGATTGCCAGCTTGGAGTTGGAGAAAAATAGTCTTTTGCAGAGTAGTCTTGATTCAAATGAGGTGAGCAAGAATGCATCTGAGACGATATGTGGGTCGCACGATGCGAGCGTAGCCCATAATAGCAAACAGGTGTCTTCATTGACTCATATAACGGACAATCAAGATTCTGACAGTTCATCAAGATTATCAGGTGGCCTTGGTAGAAGTAGAAAATTTGAGAGTGACAATTTAAATGCTCTTGCTGACAATGAAGGAAAAGATGATATGGGTCATTCTGACAAAAAGAGGAGAGTAAAACGGAGAAAAAAACGCAGCTCTTCTAGATCAATGACCATATCCCAGCGCCTGGGAGCAATTGACAAAACAACTACTGATATTGATCTTGGTATTTTGGATGCCTTGGAGGTCGCTACCAAAGTCGCACAAGAAGTCGCTAGAGAAGTAGACTCTGGAGAACCTTCTCATAGTTCTTCAGAAGAACTATCCGATGAAAGCGGGCAGTCTGGTTCGCAAGACTCCCGCGATGATGATGTACATACAGGTTCTCCATCTAAGGGATTATCAGTAGGTGAAAACCATTCCTTTGAGGAACCTAATGTTGTAGATGATGATGTCATGGATGAGAAGGATGACAAACCTGAAAATGCGATGAAGAGCAGTGATGATGTTGAAGAAAGCCACTTAGCAGCAGCTGCTAAATCTGAAGTAGGCAGAGAGAAAAGCCCATGTGGATTTGATCTTAATCAAGATATATGTCCTGATGAAACAGATGTCATTATGTCCTCCATATCTACAGCCCCTACTCCTATGTCTGTTTCATTTTCTGTCTCATCTTCTGGAATGCCTGCAGCAGCACCGTTGCAATTGGAAAGATCTCTTAGTGGGAAAGGATCAGCTGCTACTAGTGTATTCCACCCAACATTACTTCATAAAGTTCCTAGTGGGGATTTAAGAGAAAAGCAGGTGATTTCCCGTGGTATCGATCTGAACGTGGCTGAGCTAGGAGATGATCAAGTTGAAGATCTGACTCCCTGGAAACAGTTTCCTTTCTCCTCATCAAACTCTAGGGGTGGAGAGTCTTCACATGAAGCCAGTCTCCGAGGATCAAGCAGGTTCAACTTGGATTTGAATTGTATGAACGAGGACGATGAGATGCCTCCACCTTCTGAGTTGAAGATGGAGACAAGATTGTTTTTAAGTCACAATGGTCAGCAAAGCGCATCACCTGTCTCCTCATCGTCAGTTGCTCAGCAATCAGGCAAGGAAGTTAACTTTGATTTGAATGACAGGCCACAGTTTTTCATCGATTCACGTGATCAGGGTCCCTACTATGGGCGGCACCCATGGAGTACGGCCTCCTATGGAGGGCACAAATTGGAAGAACCAGGTATTTCTATCTTGGGTACGAAAGTAGATGTTGACAGAAAAGAGTCTGTATCTCAGATGGCTTCGTTCCTGTCCAATGGCAAGTCCCTCGAGCCTGCAGCAGGATTATACATGGGAAGAACGGGAACCTCTTTGGGTCTAGCCCCAGGTGTCTCCTTTTCTCCAGCTCCTATTTATGGCTACAACGGAATGAGTGGTCCTCCTGGTTTGTCAATGTCATCGCCCATGTATGTTCCTGGAACTGCTATTCCATACATGGTGGATTCAAGAGGTACTCCAGTGATGATGCCGCAAATAATCGGATCGACCCCGTATGTGCAGCCACCATTCCCTCAACAACACATGTTCATGAGCTTGGCGGGTGGATCCCCTAGTATGAATGGATCAGTGCGGCCAAACTTTGATCAGAACTCTGGGTTTGGACTTGAGATAGGAAACAGAGAGTCGATAAATTTGAGGCAGTTTCTATCGCCGTCACAAAGCGGGGCAATGGGAGAGCATTCGGGAGCAAATGTAGAGCCCTCATCGAGTTCGTCTATTAGCA